CCTCCTCCCTAATCTTTCTCTCTCTTCTTTCGATTTCTTAACAAAAAAAAAAAAGTCCTCATCTGTCCCTATTTATCATCCATTATATCCAATCCTTTGATCTCTTCTTCTTCTTCTCTTCTTCTGTTTCTGCTTCTATTTTTTTTTTGCCCCTCCAACTTACCATCCTTTCCGGTTCACCGGCAACTTTATACCTGACCTGATAGTCGCTCCCTCGAAAGCTCTCTGTTGATTACTCTGTTATTTTCGCCCACTTCTTCTTTTTTCTTCTTTTTTTTCCACACCTGAATATTATATTATATTTATTTATTTCATTCTTTATATTATTACCACCACTATAGGTACGACACTGCGCAAGCCGCGAAGACGAGAGAAGAACGAAAGCAACAAAAAAAAAGAAAGAAAGAAGGCCCCTCACGGAACGCACATACGCAACGCACGTACGCAGCAACCACCTACACCTACATATTACATATTATACACACACACACACACACACACACTCACTCACTCACTCACACTCACACTCACACTGCTCCAGCGTTTCCTCGTGTCTTCCCGCTACAGCTATTCGTCCATCCTTCGATACCAATCAACTGTTATACAACTCCGCCCCTTCGGACCCTCTTCTTAACTTTCTTTCCTCTCTTCTTTTTCTTCTCCTACTCCGTAACTCTTCACTTCCGAGCAAGTTCTCGTTCTCAGCGGCCGGCCGTCCTTACTATTATCTGTCATCACAATCATTCACCAACTATAACGTCCATCTATACACAACCATACCGACGCTGGACGACGCCATACATTACTGCCGCAAGACGCCAAACCCCGTCCCCTTCCCTCCAACTCTTGAACTCGACCAACATCCTCGGTCCTACATCTCAAGGCTGGCCTTTCTGTCTTCTTTTTTTTTTTTTTTTCGAATTTTTCTTTTTCCCTTCCCGACCTAATAAAAAGGTCCAGAAGTTAGGAAGAAAGACAAGAGAGTACGTTTTCCTTCCTCTCTGGCTGATATACGGACGGTCTTTTTTTTTTTTTTTTTTTGGTTTGTTTGTCATGGCTGTCAGTGGTGGGTGCTGATACAACCCTTCTAGTTCCAAACAGTCGATCGGAAACGTTCTTCTAGAATCTGTCATTTTCGTCTCAAAAAAAAGAGTCAATCAATCATTCATTCATTCATTCATTCATCGATTCATTCATTCATTTATCCGACTCCTTCTCTCTTCTCCGAACTTACAAGAAGAAAGGAACAAGAAAACGACACTATGGAGTCAGCACATCTCAAGTTGTAAGTGGATAGATATCCCCCCACGCAATAGTGTCAAGTCCCCCGACACTTCAGGAAAACATCAACCAAGCTTACACAGCAAACCAAAAAAAAAAAAAGGCGGTCCAAGTTCCAGAGACCATACGTCTCTTCCAGGACCGATCAGATCATTCAAGATCAGGAGACACCCAGGACCACGCCGCCCGTCCATGTCAACCCTGAAGGTCACGATGTTCTCAGGAGCGACGATGCCCCCTCCTCAAATGCCTGGACCACGTCAACCCCCCAGTCCCAGGCTGCGACGCCGCCTATGACGACAGGCCTAGACGGCTTCTCGTACAGCTCGCTCATGGACCTGGCCTCTCAGCACCAGCAGCAGCCGCATCCGACGACGACGTCCATGGGTGGTGATCCCGGCTCCGTCGTCTCCATCGGGCCCATGTCTACCGGATCGCCATCTCGCCCGATCTCGTCTCAGGATTTCCAGACTCCCTCTTCTCTCGATGGTCGTGCGTCTCCTCCTCTCCTCCTCTCCTCCTCTCCTGCCCCTCCTCATCAGACATCGTCATGGTCACCTTCGAAAGAGTCGAAGGAGGCATGGCAATGCGCATGCCAGGTCTCGTGGCTCTCAGATGCTGACTGCTTCCCCTCCCCCGTGATAAGAACTCCACGCCCACAAGCACCTCTACGAGAACCAGTACGCCCTCCAGGCTCTGACGTCGGACATGCCCATCGGCCCGGCCTACACGAGCGACGAGGTGGTCCCCATCGTCGACGCCGAGACCTCGCACCACGGGGTGGGGGGCTACTACGGGTACCCGCTCAGCCACGACGACGTCGACAGCCGCCGCATCTCCGGCTCGTCCTTCACCATGTCCACCTGCGGCGCCATGTCCGACATGGCCCCCTACGAGGACATCTCGGCCGCCATGTCCGACGCCCAGTCCGACTACCACCCCCCGACCACGGCGTCGACCAGGACCTCGTGGATGTCGTCCTCCCACCTCTCCCCGCTGGCCTCCCCGCGCATGAGCGCCCAGAACATGACGGGCAGCAGCCACGGCGCCGGCAGCCACCGTCCCGAGCTGGTCAGGACCCAGAGCCGCGGCAGGGCCTCGCCCTCCCCCCGCCCCAGCGTCCGCTCGGCCCCTTACTCCATCGACGGCAGCCAGAGGAACAGGCAGAGGTGGTCTACCGGGACCTACAGCACCGGCAACAACAACCGTAGGCACTCGCCCTACTACATGGGTCCCGAGTCCCACGTGGCCACGACGCCCCCCTTCCAACGTGAGTCTTTTCGTCATCCCGTCAACACCTCGAGACCTTCCCCACCCAATAGGGGTGGGAGGGCAGAGCAAGGAGGGAGAGATGGAAGGAGAGGGAAGGAGAGAAGGAAAGAGCAGAGAGAAGAGAGAGGAAGAGAGAAGGAAAAATGCTGACATCCCCGGGTCTAGTGTCCTCCCAAGCCTCCTACCTCACAGCCCCCCCCCGCTCCGTCCAGCGCAAGAGCATGCTCCTGCCGACGCAGCTGCCGTCCCAGCTACCCTCTCAGCTGGCCTCGCAGCCCCTCCACGGCAGCGGCGTCGGCGGCGACATGCAGTCTGGCCTGGACGGCGCGGCCCCCTCCCGGCCGCTGTCGCAGGACTTCTTCCGGATGCTCCACAGCAACGCCGACAGCCGCTCGGTCCACCAGCGGCGGTACACGACGGACCTGTCCGACCCGCCGGACCTGTTCGGCTACCTGAGCGAGGAGCCGTGCAGCCCGCCGGAGGAGGACATGAACCCGTCGGACCCGGACATGGTGCCCCGCGAGCAGGACCTCCGCTTCGACGGCGACCTGTACACGCCCAAGTGGGTGAGGGGCCACGGCAACAAGCGCGAGGGCTGGTGCGGCATCTGCAAGCCGGGGAGGTGGCTGGTCCTCAAGAACTCGGCCTACTGGTACGACAAGTCCTTCTCGCACGGCATCAGCGCCGCCACCGGGAGCCCCTTCCAGGAGCCGCTGGACTCGAGGCGCACCGACGGCAACCCCGACGTCTGGGAGGGCCTCTGCGGAGGCTGCAACGACTGGATCGCCCTGGTCAGCAGTAAGAAGAAGGGTACCACCTGGTTCCGACACGCCTACAAGGTAAGCACACACTCTACACCCTCAACGACCGAAGGTTGCAGATCGGGAGAATGGAGAGGAGAGAGAAGAGAGAGAGAGAGAGAGAAGAGAGAGAGAGAGAGAAGAGAGAGAGAGAGAAAAGAGAGACTGACGCATATCAAACGCAGTGCCATTCTCACCCCAAGGCAAAGGACGGAGCCAAGAGACGCCGAGAGAACAGCAACGTCAGACTGCCCCCCGCTCCCCTGGGCAAGTCGAGTCGACTAGACCAACAGCAGCTGCAGTCGCCGTACCACCAACCCCAGCATTCGCCGTACCACCAGCCTCAGCCGTCACCCTACCACTCCCACCACCAGCAGTTCCACCCGGGACTCTCGTCCCCCTACGTTCCCGGTATGGTCACCCCATCACCGGGAGGGCATCAGCATCATCATCATCAGCAGCAGCAGCATGCCGGTGGCGGCGGCGTCCCTCCTCCCACTCCTATGACGTATGGGTCCAGGCACAGCAATCCTACGCCCATGTCTTCTCAGGTCCAGATGGCACCTGCTCTGTACCTGAATGACATGTATCCCAACATGATATAGGGTGGTGCACGGGACGGTGTACGGGTCGGTCTCATGAGGCTTGTTGTGTACGAGAGAAGGAAGACGTCCCCCCCCCCCCTCACACACACACGCACACACTTCATACTTGTTATTTCTTCTTCCTTCTTATTTCGGTCTACTCGACTCTTCTTTTTTTTTGGTCTTCGTCTGACCTCTTTCTTCTTCTCTTCTCTTGGCTTCTTGGCCTTGTTCTCTTGACCTCTCGGTCCCCCCCCTTTTTTTTTCTTCTCTTTTTTTTCCTCCCTCGTGAAGCCAATCGGGCGACACCGAGCTACGATGAGAAACGGTTTTTAACGAAATGAACGGCAGATGGAAAAATACCACGGAAATTATTATTTCAAACAAAACCCATCACCACATCACTAGATTTCTTTTCTCCCTTTATATCCCGCCGATCTGTCTGTTTCTCCTCCCTTCTTGTTTTTCTCCCTGCCACTGCACTTTTTTTTTTTTTTTTTTTTTTTACATCTTATTCTTTATACCTCGAATCATCTCTGTTCTTACCATCTGTCTTTTATTTCGTTTTCTGTTGGTCTCCCCCTTTTCTCTCTTCGTCTTCTTGTCATTGGGCATTTGTTCCCTTTCTTCGTCACTCTTTTCTATATCCGCTCTTCGTCCTGGTGGCCTGCCGTCCTTTCTCCCCCCCCCCCCCCCCCCCTTTTTTTATATATTCTATTCTTCCTTCTTCTTGCCTCTGCCCTTGTGGGTCTGGGGGTACTGCTACTGGTACCCCTGGACCGATGACAAATGGGCTGCTGGACAGCTAAAGCTGGTGGAGATGTATTTTCTTCTTCTTTTCTGATGGGAGAGTATGGAAGGGGAAAATGAATGTGGACTGTTCATTTCATTTTTTCTTCTTTTTTTATATAAAAAAAATACTTAGATAGATCTATAAAAAAATTGCTTTGGCAAACATGGGTTGGTGCGTTGACTATCACGGGCACGTATTACTTGTATTTGCCTATCAGTGAGCAATGATGCAGGTAGTAAGTAGTGTTGACCGCCGATGTCGTCGTCGGGTTGATGTTCGGAAGGTAACAGCAACCGTTCGGAAACAATATCATACGTGCATATATCCCTTTTCTCGTTCCGTTTCTGCCAGGGCATGTGCGCCTCTACGAGCGCCTACCCGTGGAAATGATGCTTACGCTGTAGGTGATGAGGCCTCTCACGAGCACCGACAGACACCTTCGCGACTCATCACCTACAGCGTAAGCATCATTTCTACGGGGCTGGTACTATATCCCCAGCACGATATCATCTCACGCAACTAGTTGCCGCTGTTTCAGGGGTGACGTCTTCTTTCCGCCCTCTGGTCTTGGGGGGTGCATACGTGTACGTAGGCTTTATGTGACAATCCTTGCCACCCCCGTACTCCGTATTTGTATTTGAAATATAACAGTCAAGAGCGGAGACGAGAAGCACAGGAGTGTCGTTGCTGGAGCAAGCGTGAGTGTACCTGTGCGATGGCTTGATGGGTTAGGTCAGTCGTACGATAATGGAGTATATTATACGACACGAAGACGAAAGTAGTAGGCCGATAGGTTAAAAGGTACGGAGCAGTGAGATGACTCGGTTATAATACACATCACCAGGGCGAGGGGTAAGAGAGAGAGAGAGAGAGAGAGACACACACACACACATACGCTCAGAAAAAGAGAAGAAAAAAAAGCAATTTAAACCCCTGAAGAAAAAAAAATGTGGAGATGGTTACTTTGCCTCATCAAGGAAATTGAATGGTCATGAGCGGGGTCCTCGATGTAGGTAGAGCTCAGCTCGGTGCTTTACGGAGAATCAGTCAATATTTGCGAGTACAGATCACTCCGCCCGCTTTCACTCCTTCCTCATCTGCAATTTTTTTCTCGGAAATTCTTTCTTGATGACTATAGGTGACAAAGATCGTGTTGTGGTTGGCAGTGGTTGTTTTTTCTTCCGGTCGAGGTGAACGGGAGGAAGGGAAGAGGTGGTATCTCATGCCTGTTTCATCTCCAGCCTCCTGTAGAAGTCTGACCGCCTCAACTCACACGAGCAAGCAGGAGCAGACGGCATCATCATTCCATAAGGGAGGAGGACAGTGCTCTCTACGCAGGAGAGAGAGATGGCAATGATGACACAGACAAGAAGAGAAGAAGATGATGATGCGGGTCTTGCTCCAGCCCCGGTTGCGGGGTGGGTGGTGGGGCGTAGATCGGGACGGTATAGCGCCAGCAAGGGGAACTGAAGAGGTGATTGTCGCCACGACTCTGTTCAGCATACGCCATCGTGTCGTCTGCCCGGGTGCTGCACGGACGGTCTGGTTTATTGCACCGCATCAGCTCGGAGTATTCATCAGATATCAAAATCGGGACAGCCAGGTACGGGACTGACCGGCACGTGCGGCTCAGCAAGATGGAACGTCGAAGCACCGAGCAGAGGGGAGACGATGAGGGAGGTCCTCTGTCGGTCGATGCGCCAAGACGCGTCTTGGCGGATTGGCTGGCTGGCAGACCAACGACCGGGCATGTCTGTATCTTGTCCTGGGGATCGGCGGACGGAGGGAGGTGCTGTCTAGCTGTCTACTACCCCTTACTATCGAGAGTGGCTACCATCAAGAGCAGAGACGGAGAAGCCCAGAGTTGCTGTCGACGATCACTGCCAGAGGAGGGTTGAGGGCTGTCACACACCTGGAGACGTGCACGCTGTACCCGTAGATGGACTGCCGTACGGGGCCATGCTCTCGAAGATCCGAGACCGAGACCATCTAGACCATCTGGAAACCGCTATAGGAGTCAAGGCCGAGCGAAGCCAGCCTTGTCGAGTTGAAGCTGAGGCTCGACTCTGGGGGGGGGGGGGGGGCATGATAGCTGGAGATGCACTGTAGCTGTAGCTGTACAGGCTACGTGCATGCGATACGTGTACGGAGTACAGATTACAGGTGAGTGGTGTCGCTGCTATACCCTCGTACGGACTACAGCGACTACAGCGGTACTGATATGTAATGGCGAGTACTCGTGGTGAAGCTGAGCTGCCGCGACTATAATTGCGGGTGGGTAATGTTGATACTAGTAAGTGACGATGATACTACGGAGTAATCACTACGGGCACCTACTAGTATCAATACTCACTATCGATGCTTACTACAGCCGATGCTGCGTTACTACACTACTGATGGATCCAGGCACTCAGCACCTATATAACCCCATCGGAACCCAGCACCGGAGCACTGAAACCCCAGCCCCAAAGAATGGACACCGACCCGAGCACCAGAAGCAGCCGAAAGTTGACCCTGGTGTGAGCCCAGGAGCATCCCGGAACGGACCATCCAACCGATTGATGAGCGTGGCCGGCGACATGTCCTCAATCCTCTCGGTCGGTGATACGGGTCTGTAACAGACGTAGTCTGTACACAGATGTACAGATGTACAGATTACAGATTACAGATGACAGATTACCGGGTACTATATTAAGTAATAGTACGGAGTACTCGTACTGCTGCTAACAAGATACCATTCCACTATCCGTACTCGCCAAGTAATTGTGCTGTGCCTTGTGCCTGCATAATCGGGATTACAGTTAGCCGTCGGCGTTTTACCGATAAATCCTGTCCGTCCGTCCCTTGTCTCTCTGCCTTGTGATGCTCCCTCTCCCTCTCCCTCTCTTTCTCTCTCTCTCCCCCATCCCCAACCAGCAGCCCCGCGTCAACTGCTTGGCTCAGAGACGGCCGTTGCTTGTAGATTTACATGCGCACACTTTCTCTCCTTCTCCCTCTCCCTCACCCTCTTCTCTCCATCTCTCTCAATTTTCCACCATTCCTTCCTCCTCAAGCTTACCTACCATTGGCATACTAATATTACTACGGCTGCTGCTGCCCCTCATAGTACTCGTATAATAATACCCCATCCTCATTGCACACACGCCCCTCTCTCTCTCTCCCCCTCTTTACACCCCCATCTTCAACATCTTTTTTTTTATACGTCGTAGTTTTAGTTTTTTTTTTAATCTCCCGCTTCTTCTTCTTCCCTTCTCCTCTTCCTCCTCCTCGACACCACAGCCACCGAGCTTATCAGCAAGCTCTGGACAGACATACAGTCCTCGGCCGCTACTTTCCTCAGCAGCGTCGAGGCCTGCCTTCCACTGCCGACTTTAAAAGTGAGTACATGCTCCCCATTTCTAGCATGCCATCCCTCCCTCCCTTCCTCCGTCTCCCTCTCTCCCCCTCTATCAGAACTTGTATCCCCCCCCTTTCCCCCTCCTCAAACCCCCCTTTACTTGCCATCTCTCTCCCTCGAATAAAGGGAAGGAGAAGGGGGGGGGGGGATAAAACCAATCCCACACCAACCCCCTCTCTAAGCATCAGCGCTTGACACATTGACATTGACGCTGATCGGTCCGGATTCCTTGTTCCGTACAGCTAAATAAATGCGCCATACACACCATCCCGAACACCAACCCTCTTCGTCCTCCTCCTCCCGATCCCGCGTAATGTCCCGACATTCTTGACATTGAACTTCTCTTCTGGAAACAGACTGGCCCCGTCTCCCGTCTCCCTCCCATATTCCAGTCGCCTCTCCGGCTGCTCACCAACCTCACGTTCTCGTCTAATCTGTGTGTGTGCGTGTGCTGTGTGTGATTGTGCCTCTTCTTCTTCTTCTCCTTCTTCTCCCTCTTCTCCATCTCTATCCTGCACCAGAATCTCCTCCGTATCTTCTTCTCTTCTTTCCATCAGACTCTCCTTCGCTTCTCTCCCTCTTCGAGGCCAACCTGCCCCCTCACCAAACCAGACCCCTGCAACCTCCCGCCTTTCTGCCACCTACCGCCTTTCCTCGAATCCTCTTCGCCTACGGAGGCAAATCTGCCTTCTTCTTCCTCCTCTCCAACCCTTCATGTGCCACGTTGCCTGCTGTGCCATCCAAGGCTGTTGACGGGGAGAAAAGTTTCTGCCGTTGCTGCTGCTATGACAAGGCAAGCCCATCCATCCCACTCACTCCCTTCCCGTCCCGTCCCGTTCCTCTTCCCTACTCTCCCTCCCCCCCCCCCCCGGTAAAAATGCCAATGTCTCGGCTAACCTTTCCTTGACCGACAACTATACAGTCTTAGAGACCAACGAGAGCCTCAACCACCACCACCCGTCACACCCAGGCAGACGCCCACTCTTGCTTCCACAGCCTCGTTTCCCAGCCCCGCCTCTACTACACCACAGCTCTACCCGGGCGCCTTTGACCATCACCATCACGACCACGGTTCTCGGACCCCCCGATTCGCCGAGGAGTACTCCGTCTTCAACACCACCCCCGGAAACCTCAGGCGACCCCCGAGCCCCTCGGGCATATTCGATCCCTTTATCCGGCCCACCCAGGTTGCCGGCCATAAACGCATACACTCCGTCGACAGCCTCTCCGGCGACGTCACCTCTCCCTCACATGTGGACCTCTCCTCCTCGTCCTCCGCCGAGCCCGAGTCCGACAAGCCGAGCCACTCCAGAGACCTCCCGCTGCCCCCCGTCGATTCCTCCCTTCAGCTTCCGTCCAAGGACGGCCCCCGAAATAATCTCTTGAGCACCCCGAGAAGGAAATCCCCTCGGCGCGATCCTCTGGCGAGCCCGAATCCTCCCCGGCAGGCTTCGGGCAAGAAGCAGCAGCAGCAGCAGCAGCAGAGCAGCTTCCAACCAGAGTCGCCCCGAGGGTTCACCCAGACGGCAACACCGCCCCCGACCGCCCGCAAGCAGAGGCACGACGAGCCGGACCAGCTCAGCATGAATCATCATGGCCACCACCAGCAGGACTTTGGTCAGCCCGACTTCACCGGCGCCTCATCCCACCCTCAGGATCTTACCAGCCTGATGGCCAGCCCTGGCGACATCTTCTCTCACCCCATGTCGGCCTCCGCCGCTGCCCCCGAAAACTACTGGGACCCCTCGGCCATGACGATCCCCATGGACATGGACTTCGTCCCCACCGACATGTTCCAGCAGCAGGAGAATGTCGGCCACCACCGCCACTCGAATTCCTTCGACTGGAACAATGAGGTTCACATGTTTCAGGATCTCCCTCAGCAACCCCCACCACCACCACCACCACCACCACCACAGCAGCAGCAGCAGCAGCAGCAGCAGCAGCAGCAGCATCAGCAGCCGTCCCAACAGCAATCTGCCCCTGCTCCCGCCACAAACACGACCAAGACCCAGCGACAGCCGAGAAAGACGAGGACCCTAGCACCGAAGCCCTCGTCAGCTGGCCGGGCAGCCGCGCCGGCCTCTCAACCGCTGCAGACCTCCATGTCCATGAACTCCCTGCCCATGGACAATTCCTTCGGTATAGTGGGCCACGACGCCTCAGCCGTCGACCCAGGCATCCTCTTCGGCCGGCCACAGACGGCCGTCGTGGATTCCAGCTTCGATACCATCAATGATGACGGCTCGGCCGGGGCAGCCCTCACCGGTGCCGCCAAGGCCTCGTCCGTCATGACCAACGGCCTCCGCCGATCTGCCAGTGCCAGAGATGCGCGGAACACCGGCCACGTGCCCGACCAGTCATTCAGCAGCTCCCCGCTCAAGCCTCAGGCTGCACCTCCCCGACCGGGACTCCCGCGCAGCCAGAGCGACACGCGCGGCAAGAGGTCATTTGCACGGGTCAGCAATGCAGTCGATCAGCAGCAGCAGCAGCAGACCACATCGGTCACCAGAAACGTCCCAAGCTTAGATCTCGGCCTCGGTCGAGGTCACGCCGTGCCGTCGTCATCCGGTGCCGTGTCCCCTCTCAAAAGGCAGCACCGTCTATCGAGCCTAGCGTCCATACCGGAATCCATCTCGCGACCCAGCTCCCGCGCTTCCGTCAAGTTCTACATCGGCGCCGACGGCCGTGCCCACGCCGAGGCCACGCCGCACGAGAACCCTAACCCGCAGCTCGTCCTCCCCGCCGCCAGCGCCAGCAGGAAACCCCCACCCTCCCGCTCGTCCGTCGAGGTGCAGCAGTGGGACGAAGACTACGACTCCTCGTCCACGGATGACGAGCCCATCGTCATCCCCAGCCGGGCCAACTCTTTCAACTCGTCATTCGCCCTGCCCGATCCCCGCCGCCCCGTGGGCTCCATCTTCCACCCATCCGCCTCGTCGAGGAGGAGAGTCAGTGACAGGAGCAACGGCAGCGGCAGCACTGTCGGGCCCTCGGATCTGCACCACAATGGCGACGGTAATGGCGGCAGCAATGTCCTGCCCTTCCTCTACCAAGATGAGAGCGACGACGCAGAGACTGTCATGAACGATGTCCAGGACGGTCCTGACGCGGTGAGCGAGCTGCTCAGGGTCAAGGAGAATAGGCAGATGAGCGCGTCGATGGCAGGCGGCGGCGGCAAGTCTCTGCGATTCTACTCAGGACGTGGCTACCAACCTGGTTCGTCAGTCTCTCCCAAGCGTCCTGGGACGGGACAGACCATGGATGGTGGGCGTGTGAGGTGTGTTTGTCATAGGAATGAGATGACGGGATTCTTGGTGCAATGGTAGATCTCTCTCCCCCCCCCCCCCCCCCCCCCCCTTCCTTCTCTTCTCCTTCTCGCCCCCTCCTACCTCGTCTCTCTCAGTCTGTCCTGTCCTGTCATGCGCTGTCTTCGAAGGTCAACTACTGACACTTGGCAGTGAATCCTGCGAAATGTGGCAACACGGCCAGTGTGCCAGCCAGGCCACGCAGCCAGGGGTCTACATCTGCGCCTTCTGCGCCGACATGCCCAATGCCCACGGACACGGACATGGTAGGGGTGGTTCCGGCCCTACTGGTCTCGGATTGATCTCTCCTCTTGCTGAGAAATCCCGCACACTTCGGTAGGCCACGGTCACGGGCCGGATATGAGGGATGTGCTTTTTTTTCCTCATAATGTTTTGAAACTCGGAAACACCACATTTAGATCTGGTATCGGTGACGGTACATGGACTTGGGGTTTTGTTGTTATTCTACAAGAAAAGACGTGAAGAGAGATGGCATGGATGGGCGTTTTTTTTTTTTTTGCTTTACAAGTCTTTCTATTCTATCTTTCTTCTTCTTTTTTCCTATTACGAGTTCTTTTCTGCGTAACTTGATGGGAGCGGTTAGAGGACAAAGGACGGTGTGTCGTGGTGGGATGAATGAGATGATGACTTGAAAGTACTCTTTGACTACTGGCATTCTTGTAATGATGCGTGATACACACACACACACACACACACACACAGCTTGATGGTGCCTTCGTCGGGTGCTGATGATTTTGGTGTCTGGCTCGTCATAGAGATGGTAACGGAGCAAGGACGTGTGTGTGGTGATGCCGGCCAGTAGACAGCGTAAAAGGCAAAACACCAGCCCGACATCGGCCGAGTTGCCCCTCCCCCTCTTCCTCCCTCACACCGGCAAAAGAAAAAAAAGAAGACGAAAGAAAAGGGCCGGTCAGAGCAAAGGCAGGCGGGGCAATCTTGTGAGTAAGACTGTGTGAATACAACAGGTTCGTTCCGTCTCTTTTCACAGAGATCTTCAGCTCCAATTGGTTTTCTCCGAAAAAGTCACAAAAGTCCTTTTGCATCTTTCCTCTCTTCTTCTACCTCTGCCTACACGACACCGATCGCATCCAACCCCACCCCCCACCCCTTCTCTCTCTCCCTTCGAAGCAACCCGATCGAACGTGACGGATCGAGATTGAAATACTGAAGATACTACACGATACATACCTACTACGCACGCAGACGTACACACACCACACGCACACAGAAGACACATACGCACATAGAAGAGAAGGAGAAGAGAAGAAAGAACATCCCCCGCAATGGCTGAATACAAGATTGTCGTCTTGGGTGGTGACCACTGCGGTCCCGAGGTTGGTTCTGATCCTAAGATGAACTGAGATGATCCCGAGCCCGAGTAATGATGAATTCTAACGGTTGTCTTGTCAGGTTGTCCGTGAGGGTATCAAGGTATGTCTTTGGAAGGAATGGAGGGAACGGACAGAACAACGACAACAACGACAACAACCAGACAACAGAAGAACAAAAAAACACCAAATCACGCAACTACCAAACCAAATAAGATATTAAAAAAAGATGAAATAGCAAAACAGCAAGAATCTGACAAGGCAATACAGGTCCTCAAGGCCATCGAGGCTAGCAGGCCCAGCATCGGCAAGTTTGTTCTCGAAGAAAAGCTTCTCGGAGGAGTATGTTTTGTCCCACACACACACACAAACCCAGAGCACAGACGCGGCTAACGTGCTTCCCCTTTCCCTCCCGATCGGCAGTGCTCCATCGATGCCACAGGCGTCCCGCTATCGGACGAGACCCTCTCGGCGGCCAAGTCGGCGGATGCGGTGCTCCTGGGTGCCATCGGCGGGCCCGAATGGGGCACGGGATCGGTCCGTCCGGAGCAGGGCCTGCTCGCGCTGCGCAAGGAGATGGGCACGTACGGAAACCTGCGGCCGTGCTTCTTCGCGTCCGACTCGCTGGTGGACAACTCGCCCCTCAAGGCCTCGGTCTGCAAGGGGACGGACCTCGTCATCGTGCGCGAGCTGACGGGCGGCATCTACTTTGGGGACCGCAAGGAGGACGACGGCGACGGCAGCGCCTACGACACCGAGCCCTACACCCGCGCCGAGGTGGAGCGCGTGGCCCGGCTGGCCGGCTTCCTGGCCCGCGGCCGGGGCGAGAGGCGCGTCTGGTCGCTCGACAAGGCCAACGTCCTGGCCACCAGCCGCCTGTGGAGGAGGGTCATGACCGAGACCTTTGCCGCCGAGTTCCCCGACCTCGAGGTCGCCCACCAGCTCATCGACAGCGCCGCCATGATCCTGGTCAGGAACCCTACCGGCCTCAACGGCGTCGTCGTCACCTCCAACCTCTTTGGCGACATCATCTCCGACGAGGCCAGCGTCATCCCAGGCTCCATCGGACTGCTGCCCTCGGCTAGCCTGAGCGGTATCCCCGATGGAAAGGGCAGGTGCAATGGCATCTACGAGGCTATTCATGGTACGTAATCTATTCCCCCCCAACCCACCCTTTCTCTCTTTCTCTTTTTTCAATACTATTCCCCTTTTTCTTTCTTATCCTTCCTTCTCTCTCCTCTCCTTGTGTTTCTACATAAAGGCAAGAGTAAAAGTAACCGAGAGGACTGACCCATCTACAGGCTCCGCACCCGACATCTCAGGAAAGGGCATCGTCAACCCCATCGGCACCATCCTCTCCGTCGCCATGATGCTCCGCTACTCGCTCAACCTTCCCGACGAGGCCAAGGCCGTCGAGGACGCTGTCCGGGCCGCCATCGACTCCGGCGTCCGCACAAAGGATATCGGTGGTCAGACGACGACTTCCGAGATGGGCGATGCCATTGTCAAGCAGCTTGAGACTATTCTCAAAGCTTAGATACATCGAGAGGTTCCATTTCAAGAACAAGAGGCATATATACAAATTATCATTTTTTTTCTCTCTTTATGTTTTCTTTTTGTGGTTTCTTTTTTTTAATTGTTTTTTTATTAAAAAAAATAAGACAAGAAAAGAAAAGGAAAAAATTTCTCGATAGATATAGGAATGGCCAGTCTTACATCTACTTTTTTGTTTCCAGCTCACCACCTTTCTGCATAAGTCCCACGTCCGTACGTGTACTTGTCATCTACCACTTCTTAGATACCAGTCATGATGCGGGCAGTGTCAATGTTACAGACACGCGCAGCAGCACGACATGACATGCGAGGCACAACAACAAAACGCGGCACGACTTGACATGACCCTCGTCGATGTCCCTACCCCATTCAACCAGATACTGAAAGTAGCAATGACAAGAGAAAGAGAAAAGCTGCTTTGCTTTGTCCATTCTTCCTCCTTTTTATATTCCACCATTTCATATCCCTGGTATACCTCCCCTCTTTTCAAGATTGCTACACACAACACAGGAGAAGAAAGAGGAAGAAATGAAAGTTGAAGGGGGGGGGTAACAAGTTGAAAAAAGATCCGTCATTTTATTGTGTTTTTTCTTTTCTTGTGTGTGTGTGTGTGTATGTTGCTGTTGCTGTTCCATTCCCTTCCTCATACCCTTCCCCCCCCTTTTTTTTTCCCCACAGAAACTCTCCAGAATATTTTTTTTTTGTTTTTGTCTTTGTTTTTTAATTGCCAAAATTCCCCCCCCCACCCACAGAGGAAATACACACAGAAAGAAAGAAAAGTTGCGAGGTTGGGGGCCCTTTGGTTTTTAGGGGTTTTTTTCCTACATTGTCTTCTATTTCCGATGAGATTTTGTGCCTGTCTTTCTTTTTTCTCTTTCTCTTTCTTTTCTTGTCCCTGTCCGTTTGTTTTCTCCCACAAGACTCTTGAAAAGGGAAGTGTAATTAAACGAGAGGGGGGGAAAGAGGGAAAGAAAGAGGATAGATTGGGAGGTGGAGGGAGAGAGAGAGAGAGAGAGACAGAGACAGAGAGAGAGAGAGAGAGAGAACTTCAGGCGCTCATGGTTCTGTGTGTGCTGTGTGTCGTTTTGACAACAGCTTATTTGCCGAGGCTGGGGAAAGCAGACTCGTCACGGGTGTTGATGGGGGCAGGGCCATCACGACGTCCGCCACGGGGGGCGCTGCCGCCGCGAGGGTTGGCACCGCCGCGGGCACCACGCTCACCGCCACGGCCGCCGCGGTCACCGCCGCGACCGCCGCCACGGGGGCCACCACGGCTAGGACGGTCGCCGCGGTCGCCGCCACGGGGTCCGCCGCGGGCGGGGCGCTCGGGCTCGACGATGCGAGGGTCGAAGTCGACGGTCTGCTTGACCTTGCGCTCGCGCTCACGCTGCTTCTTGCCGCCGGTGGCGGCGAAGTAGTCCTCGGTCGTCTTCTCGAGGGGCTTGGCCTCGGCCCACTTCTTGTCGAGCTTGCTGCCCTCGTTGGCGCTGCGGATCTTGACGTCGTTGTCCTGGAGGGCGAGCTTCTTCTCAGCCTGCTGGGCGAGGTAGTCGGCGAACGAGACCGACTTGTCCTCGGGGACGGTCTCCTCGGCGGTGGCGTCCTCGGCAGCGGCCTCCTTCTGCTCGCTCTTGGCGATGCTCTCGCCGGCCTGCTCGTCCTTGAGCTCGGCATCACCCTCCTGGGCGCCCCAAGAGGCAGCAGCCTGCTTATCGGAGCCGCTGTGAAATGGTGTCAGGAAAAATAAAATAAAATTTCAGGCTCATCAAGGAAAGTACCGATATAACTTACCCGTGGTTGCCGGTCCTGGGCTGACGGTCATCACGGTCGTGGGGGCGGCGCGAGCCACGTCCTTGGACAGGGTTAGTATATGACGTCGTATGACGAGGGGAGGGGTCCGAAAAGACGTCATTGTAACCATTTAAGGTCTCTCGGTCCCTAGGATGTCCAGAAAAGGGAATGAACGGGAAAAGAGGAGGGGGGAGGGCTTACCGCCACGGACGCGAGCTCCGGCGCCACCGCGGCCTCCACCGCGGCCAACCTCCTCGGTGGAACGACCCTGGTTGCGCTCGTGGCCAGCACCACGGTCACGGAAGGCTGCCGTCATGTTAGTCAGGGTGATCTGCTTCTCAGACGTCACGAGCAGATGGTGTCGGGGGGGTTGGTGGAATAGAAGGAGAAGATGACTTACCACCCTCGTTGCCTCCAGGACCACGGCGGTTGCTGGAAGTAGGAGCGCCAGCCTTGACGGGAGCCGTAGGCTCAGCGTTGCGCTTGACCGTGTGGGTAGAGGTCTTCTCGACCGTCTTCACGGGAGCGGCGGGCTTGTTCTCACCATCGTCATCGTTGCCTGCAGCGTCACACAAAGATCCACCTGGTCAGCCTCTCTGTTTATTTTCCCTGGTCAATTGCACCGCATGTCCTTCTTCCGTTCTGCTCTGTTCTTTGACCGGTTCGACTTTTTAGATTTTTTTTTAGATTTTTTTTTTGCAACTTATGGAACCTGTGCGGGGTCTTGGCAAGAGAAGAAAAAAAGGGAAAAAGAAGGCATCATATCGTACCAAGGTAGGCGAAAAGGTTCTAAAAAAAGCACACGTGTTAATTTCTTCTCTGTTTCAAGGCACAGAGAGTCTCGAGAAGCTGCAGAAAAGAAAAAGAGAGAGTAGGGGGGGAGGATGGGGAGAAAATCCGACGCAGGGTTGAGGTGTCGAGCAGAGCAGGGCAAAGAACCACACCAAAAAAGGTCCCCCTCACACAACAAATATTTGTTTGCCCTTTTTTTTCTGTCCCTCTCTCGCTCTCTCTCTCTCTTATTATTCTTTTCTTATTTTTTTCGCCGTTCTCGAGAGACGAGAAGGAGACCCCGGTATGGATTTCTTCCCGTGAAGAAAAGAAGAAGGTAACAATGATGATGATAAAATAATTACGTACCTGTGAGGCGACCGACATCTTGGCCGCCTTTGCTCGTCACGAGTCGTCAAGGCGTAAAAGATGTTTTTTTTTTTTGAAAAAGAAGACGAGGAAGTGACTTTTCAAAAAAAAAATTTGAAAAGTCAGACGGACAAGTTTGGAGCTTCGAGGCGAAGGAGGGGGGGGTTGTAAGAACCAGGCCGTCACGATCGCATGACCCGGGAGATGGAAGAGAATTGGTGACCTAGACGGGAAGGGTAGAAGCTGTGTGGGTGATGATGCAGCGGTTTCAAAAAAGGTGGAAGAAAACTGCACGAGCCGGGGGAGGGAGAGGGTTGGTTGGGCAATGGGGGCTGGCGGGGGATTGTCTAGTACCTGTCTGTACCTTCTAACTCGCTGTGTACCTTCAGCACTCTTACAGAGGAGGGGAATAAAAAAAATTGATCTCTCTTTTCTTTTTTTCTTTTTTTTTTCAGAATGTGACTTTGTGGGTACATCCGGATCCGGACATGTTTGACGCTTTAGGATGATTAATTCTATGTACTGTCAAAGTATCACTCTAGACACATTTGGTGGGCTTTCTTTATTTCAATTCTTTTTCTTCTTGCCTTTTTCTCTCCTTGCCTTTTCTTTTCTTGCCCTTTCCTCTACTGCCTTCTCTCTCCGGTCGACTCTGACAGTAGGATCTTTCGATTCAATTCCATATAGCTCATAACCTGATGATTCCTCGTGTGCCTCTTTGCTTCTCCCAATTCTTCCATCATCTGCTTACTACTCTGCTACACATCATACCTTGCCCTACCACGAATCTTGGTTGGTCAATTAATCCATAAGGGTTCCCTGCCGTGGCCCGCGGCTCGTGGTCGTTTTCTGCTGTCAAATCCATTGGACAGAGAATTTTTTGTGTGGTTGGATGACTGGGCTCTTAGGGCTGTTCCAATGCTAGGACGCCACTAATTTCCTTTTTTTCCCTTTTTCCTTTTATGATCCTGCTGCTGTGATTCTTAACCCCCCAGCCTAGTTTGTGTGCCCCTCCCCCCCTTCGTCTCATTACCTCATAGCTGTATGGTTGACCCGGATATTAACCGATCCGTTTGCGTACGATTTCCTCAAGCTGTATCTCGTATTACGCTTGTATCGCATTGCAGGTACTCGTAACCAGGCAACGCAATCAAGCCGCGAGAAGTAAATAAAGAGAATCTCAATTTCTATTTGTATCGGAAGGAGAAGAAACAAGAGAGGAAATAGAACCAATGTGGTTTACTTACGAGGACAACACCATTCTTCGACAAGGAAGCAAAACGGAAGAAAGAGAGAAGGGAAAGAGAAATATTATAAATAAAAAAAAAGGAACCTCGTACGCCCCTTGACCCCCCTAGACACCATCTTGTCCATATGACCCCTTAAACAGACACAGGAGAAACCCATTTGAAGCAATAAGCAAGAAAAGGAAAGAAGAAAAAAACCAAGAGGATTAAACACAGGTGGCAATTCATATCCTCGTAACATTGTGCAGCAATGAACCGAAAGCGCAGGGCATCTCAAACGTCTTCACTCCTTTTTAGCAACGCACATATCAACCCTACTTGAGATGGGTGAGCAGATCAAGCCCTACGCTTAGGCCTGGAAAGCATATTCAACCGACTCATGCTGATCCCGACCTTCTTGGTGGGCGTGCCGGAAGGCCCACCTGCACCCGAGACCGATGAAGCAAGCATCCTCCCGGGTGTACGGCCGGCCGAGGACGGAGGCGCGCCTCTCTTGACGGGTGACTTCCTGATGGGGGTGGAGGATACGCCGAGAGTGCTGCGCGAGAAGAGTTTCCTGGGCGGCTCGGGAGCCGCGTGGACGTTCTTGCGCTTCTTGGCGGCGCGGCCGTCGTCGTCGCCGTCGTCGGCGGCCGCGGCCGCGGCGGAAGCCGACGTGGTGGCAGTATCATCCGAGGCGGCCCTGCTGCGCTTCTTGTTCGCTATGCCGTGCGCCACGCCGGTGAGGAAGACCTTGGGCGAAGGGGCCGGCGCGGCGTTCTCCTTGTCCGGGTGGGAGCTCTGGTCGGCGGCGGGAGCGCCGGGGAAGCTGCCGGGCATGTCCATGTCCGTGTCCACGTCCACCATCGACACGCTGGGGCCGCCCGTGGAGGGGCGCACCTGGCGCAGGCTGGCTTGGCCGGGGGACGCCCCGAAACCGGAAGCTGAGGCCTTGACAAAATCAATCGTGTGGTCCGACCGGAAGGTAAAGGTGCCCGGGGCAGAGGGGGCGCTGACGTCCCGGCTGGCCTTCTTGTCGCCCCCCAGGAACGCCGTCATGTGTTTTAGACCAGAGAGGTCAGGGTAGAGTGAGCTGCCCATGTCCTCCTTCTTCGTTGCCGAGGACTCGGCCAGCACGGCGTCGAGGGCGGGGTACTGCACCGGCTCGGCCGGGGTGTCGCCGAGCTTCTGCGGTGAGGGTGAGTTCTGCGTCTCCGCCGCGCTCTTGGTGTCTGGCGTGAAGGCAACCCTCTTGATGAGCCTGCGTCGGGGTGTGGTGAGCGGGATCGGCGGGAGCTCCTTGTCCATCGCCATGGTGGAGCGGGAGGGAGGGCCTGGAGTCCTGGAGATGGCATCGGCAGGCATCGGGAGCGCAGTGCGCGCCTGCTCGCTCTTCCCGTTCTCGCCGCGGAGAATGGACCTAGCTCTCTGAAAGCGGTTAGGGCTGATGATTCGGCGGCCCAGCTGCGCCGCCTTGGACGGGGAGGGGGACGGCGGGGGCGCCTGGGCCGACGACGCGGCAGTGGCAGCCCTCACGTCAGACCTGGACGCCGACTTCACCAGCGAGATGGTTGGCTTGCTAGGCGTGGCCGTGGAATGGAGGCCGGTCGACTTTCCGAGTGTGGTGATGGCGTGATGTCCGGCCGACGCCTTGGTGGGGCTGGTCAGACGAGCCAGAGTCGGGTTGGACGGCGTAGGTCGAGGCGTAGAAGTCTTGCTGAGGCTGCCGCTAGACTTGGGGCGCGGGATGGCGCTGTTGCCGTCGCGCGAGATAGGGCGCGACTTGGATGTGTCGTCGTCGCGGAACTTCTTGACCCTTTTGGTGAAGGAGGTGCCGGGCTCGTCGCGGGGCGTTGTGCGAGGCCTGCCCGAGACGGAGAAGCCGACCGAGTCGACGTCTGGCTGGGCCGAGTCGCCGTCATCGAGCCTGGCGTGGGAGGAAGTGCGCTTGAGGGCGCGGTGGGAGCGCTGCGACTGAGGAGTGCCGTCGAGGTTGGCCTTGGACTGGGTGCGCTTGAGGCTGGTCTTGATGGGCGACGGCGTGCCGGGTGCGCTGCCGGTGCTGGCGGCGGTGCCGGCAGCCTCCGGGTTAGACTTGGAGGGCGTCCCCCTGAGCGTGGACGCGGCCGCGGAGGTGGGGGGTGTGCGGTTGGCGCGCCAGGCCGACGCGTGGTTCTCGATCGAGTCCATCTTGCGGAACTCGGCCATGTGCACCTCGCTGAAGCGGCCGGTCTTGCCCTTGGGCTGGGCGATCTTGCGGCTGGCCGCGTTGTCGTCGCCGCCGTCACGGGCCCTCTGGGCCTGCATGTCGGCCTTGATGATATTGGCCTGCTCGCGGAGCTCCCTCATCAGCCGCTGCGCGTTCTCGCTCAACGGCTGGTCCGACGCGCCCTGGGCGAAGCGGAATGTGAACTCGGTGGCCGGCACGGCCCTGGGCCTCGATGGCGTGTCCTGGCCGCCGTCGGCCACCAGCATGCCCGACGAGGCCCTGGGCTTAACGTCGGTGAAGCCAAGGCGGAGCGCGGACGAGGGCTCGGGCGCTGTGGATATGTGGCACTTGCTGGGGTGCATCTCCTCGTGCGAAGGGGCCAGCCTCGAGGCCGTCGGGGTAGCCGGCTCGAACCTTCTGGCGGGCGGCGCGGGGGACTTCTTGGGCGTCGTGGACTCCGTCACGGTCGTGTCGCCGGCTTCCGCGACAGAGGCCAGGTCGGGCGTGGCTCTGACATGCTGCTGTGATGCGACGATCGTCTGTCAGGGCCCATACACGTCGAAGGGGTGCGGTGAAGAGAAGGGAAGAACAGAGTGAGAGAAGTATGTCTTACCTTGCTGGCGAGCCGCGAAGAACGTCGACGCGGCGGTGACATGGTGTTTTCGTGTCTTCTCCTGGGAATGTATCCCTCCCCGTTAAAAGGCCCCGGTATCTAGGCAGTCCTTCTTTTTATGATGCCTGTCTGGGTTGATGCTGAACAACAAACAGAAAGATGTTGTTGGAATGCTTGATATGATGTCCAGGTGAAACCCAGCAGGCTATAATCGAGGCAGGGTATTTTCTTTCTCTCCAGCTACCTCACTGGTTAGAGGTGAACCGCGCGCATGGATCAATATCAAGATTTAATGCTCGTAGGTATGAGAGCGACGACAGAGCGAGGGGTGGGTGGGCGCGGACGGGAGCGGAGATGAGGAGAACCTATGCCAGGTTTGTTTACTTTCGAACTCTGTTGTGGTCCGAGCTCACGGCAACCCAAACAATGACAGTGCGTGTCTCGGCTTTTCTGTGGTCGAGTTTACTGTGATTGGCACTGTATGTCGGGTGATGCAAATTGTGGGTTATGTAATGTCGTGGGACGTCATTGTGGTATACCGTGATAATACACCTCAAGAAAACGGAGGGGGGGAAACATGGGCCATACGGCGTGCTTTCTATGCCCTCTCACCCCATATCCGGTGTACCATTCATGATCACATGCACATGGTCTCTCACGATTAAGCTCTAGCCAAAGATGCAGTGAAAAGACTGTGTTGATATCTTGTATTCCAGAAGCGTCATGCTTCTGTCGTGATCAGCATTGTTCTTTCATCTGTCATGTCAAAGAAAACAACCCTTGGATATATGTAGTATACTCTCCGTAAATAGAAACACAAAAACTTTTCTTCTTCATCTCTCTTTCAAGTCCCGCGTGAGATTCTTTCTTCTCTTTCATTACCAACCCATTTCCCGTCCAGAACTCTTTTTTTTTTGTGCTGCAAGTGCTGTTATAGTAAACAAGAAAGAAAGAAGATAGAGAAAAAAACCATCATGACTGCCTGCGCCTATGTCCGCTTCCTCCCGAGTTGTGTGAAATCAAGGCCATCGTTCTTCGTAGTCCTCGCTGAAAGAAAAAAAAGAGACAGAAAGAGTAAAATGAGTCTCCAGGGCCGTGATCTGGTATACAATTGAATAAAAAATGTAGAGAAGTAGAGAAGATAAAGAGATAAAGGGAAGATGAAGATTTTTTTTAATAGCACTCGTAAGTCGCTTTGATTATCCCAGGAAAGAAGACGAGAACGCCGGTTGAGAAACCAGGTGGAAATATGTATCGCGAGAAAGGGGGGGGGGGTTGTGTGGGTGTGGTTTGTGTTTTTTTTTCTGATGAGGGTTGACCTGCATATAGTGTTTTCACCTCATGTTGGCCTGGTCAAGCTGATATGATTGAGAGGGGAAAGCCATGCTTGCGCTGAGTCCAAAGGGATCCCAATCGATGTTCTGGTCCATGAGGGACGACATCGAGGGGTACTGCTGGCCGCTCGTCTGGCCGTGACCGGGCTCATGTTGTGGGGGCATGTGTGGTGCCGGGCCGTTGGAGGGCGGGGAGAGCATGTGAGGAGCTCCCTCGTTGGGGAAGGGGGGGTATTGCCCCGACCCATTGGGTGTCTCGAGATCCGCCCCGTCAACCATATCGGCCTGGGCATCATATTCTTGCTCTGTGAGGGGATGGTTAGCCACGTTCAAGCTTCCGCCTGCGGGAAGAGGAGCTGGAAGACTCACCGAGCTGCTCGATGTGGTTCTGGAAAGCGGGCGTAGGATAGAAGGATGCCCCCGATGGATTGGGAGCGGGCTGCTGCTGTCGTCCCCCACGTGGCGTGGGCGGCTGCTGCTGCTGCTGCTGCTGCTGCTGCTGCTGCCTATGTTGCTGGGCCATGGGGTGCATCTGCTGTCGCGGCAGACCACCAGCCACGGATCCTCGCATAGACGGAGTATCCGAAGCGGCCGGGGAGAAGGCAGAAGCGGCAGTGTTGGTGGGAGAGTTGGAGTGGGAAGGAGGCGTAGGCCTATTCTTGGGCGAGGCGACAGCCATGGAGTGAGGCGGGGGTAGCGGGTTTCCAGGCTCGCTCTTGGGGGCGAGAGTCGAGTTGGACCTGCGAGACTGGTGGTGGCGGTTGATGAGTGCTCTCTGTATCGGGGGTGGCTGGACCAGGTTTTGGAGCATGTGGGTGGTGCCCAGGCTAGGGCTGCCCGTCTTGGCCTGAAGCTCGGCCTGAACGTCGATACCCTTCTCGAGCAGGATACGCTCGAGTAACGAGTTCTTGTAGCGGAGCATCAGACACTCGTCGGCGGCTGTCCGATGGGCCGTCTGGAGATTGTGTAGGTTGGACTCGTGGACGCGTATGGTGTCCTCGAGCTGCTTGATGTACTCGGTACGACGCTCGCGGAAGGCGGCCTGGGCCTGCCTGTTGCGCTGCTTGCGCTCCTCGGACGTGGCATAAATCTGGACGAGAGCGGTTAGCAAGCAAGTCCAGCAACATCGCCATGACCGGTGGACGGCATCTCAGGTGGGGTGGGCGAGGAAGAAGATTGAAGCCGTCACGGTGGGGAAGAGAGGAAGAAAACGTACGGGCTTACGGCCACCCTTGCGCTTCGGTTGCTGGCCATCCTGAGCAGCTGCGGCGGCTGCCGGGTTGACATCAGCAAGCGAAGACCTGTCGAGATCTCCGATGGGAGACGAGGTGATGGACTCGTCGCCACTCTCGTCGTGACGGTTCGCCGGCGGCGGGACGGGCTTGTTGTCGATGGACATGTTGGCGGCCATATCCTCCGTCGGAGTCGGAATCGGGGGGAGGCAGTCCAACCGGAGGACCGGGGGCTCGCGGCGACGGCGGTCCGTGTTTCCGGAGCCGAAAAGTGACAAGAGCGTTTGCTGTTGCGGGCGCCTAGTGACGTCTATGTCGCGACTGTGGAACGTGCCTTGGGGCGTGAGATGGTGCGCCCGTTGAGAATACCTGGTTGCGGGCGTTGCGGGCGCAAGAGACGGAAGAGTGCAACACAAATGGGGCAGGTTGAAGGATCGAGGCACCTATCAGAGGACACGGGGCCAGACTGGTAACGTAAGGAAAATAGGGAAAAAAGGTGTGAGGTGCCTGGCAGAGAGTGTCTGGGGGGGGCAGACAGCGGGCGCTCGCACGCTTGATGGCCGGGGGTGAGGGGGGGACAATTGTGATAAGGCCGCAAATGCCTGTAATTCTCTTTGTCAGAGGTTTCAACTCTGTCTGCAATCCTATTAGTTTCCTTCTTTTTTCTTTTTTCCTTTTTTTCTTTTTTTTGCGTGCGGGCGCTTCTGCTCTCTCTCACTCTCTCTCTACGAGTAAGAGTAGTAGAAACCGGGAAAGAGGGGGGGGGTAGAGAAGAGATAACGAAAGACAGAGAGCGAGGTCATTCGCTTTTATGTAATGAAAATTTGAGCGGGGGGGGGGAGGGGAGGAGGGGGGCACCAGAGGAAAAAGGTTTCTGTCCAGTCGTGCCGCAACTTCCACAGGCCCGTTCAAGGACTTTTTCAAGGGCTCCCCTTCTCAGGCCCTCGGGCCAATACAACGCCTCTGGGCTTGGCTGTGCCTCCTCTATGACCCGCAAAGAAGAGAAGGAAGAGTGAGCAAGGTATTCCGTACAGGTTGTAGGTCATGGATGCAGTCACGCCTGCTCTGTGCTCTACAAACGCCCCTCTCGGCCACCGAGAACCTGAAATATGAGGTACGTAGTGCTTATAGGTCGTCAAGGTTTTCAGAGGGCGTGTCTCTACGACGGTCTACGAATGTTACTGGGCATGTGACCCCCCACACGCCCTGAACCCCCCACACACTCTCTCGTCCTTTCCACCCAGACTATTCCCACACGTTTTTGTCTCTAAGCGGGAGATGCAGATGCCATTTGATATGGGTGCCTGTAAGACATATATAAAAGACCTGCTCTTGTTGTTGGCCATGGTCAAGTCAAGAGCAGAGGATGATAAATTTTTTCTTCACGTCCCACACGGACTCACCGTCGCATGGGGGTCTGCTGCAACGCCGGCATCATCTTCTCGAATCGTCCAACAGTCCGCGTGTGGGTTAAACCCCATTCGGCGGCCCATTCGTCACGGTGAGGCATTTGGCCTGCCAACAGAATACCTCCACCAATGGTCCGATCACCCCAATGGGCCGCTGAATCCCCCCGACGTCGGCCCTCTTATTTGTGTCATGTGACATGCGTGCCTGGGCTCACCACCGTGATGGATGCATCCATCATCTTCATCATCTTTATCATCGTCATTATCCATCGCTTTGCGACCGCCAGTTTTCCTCTGCCACGTCTACTTGACAACATATCTCTACACTTCCATTGCCCTCTAACTTCTCAGCCGGCGTTGTAGAATACCGCGGCTCAAGACCACAACACCTTACTTCTGTCCTTTTGTTTTTCAGCTCTTAGTCAGAGTTACCATCTTCTCACACATATTACCTAAACCCAGTCGTTTTCACCCTACGTACACATGTACACTGCGTCCCCGACTCTGGTCGATGCGTTCTTCACCTGCCCCCGGCCCCCAGCCGAGAGCGCCCGTGGGCCATGCGCGCATTATGATCGATCAGCACGTAGGAGGAGTCACCGCCCGCCCTGGCCGAGCCAGTCGTTTCTCCTCAATCCTCACTCCCACCACCATGTTTCGCCCCAAGCCACGAATTAATCTAATACAGCTTGCGAGTTACGAGTCCCCGTACAGAAATGGGTCGTGGGCTATCCCTCGGACTCCGCGGGCTGCCGTCGCCTCCAATTGGTAAGACGATACTACAATGTACGAAATCATGGTCCGGAAATACTGTACGCATAGTTGCCCACGGTGATACAGTGTAAGATGTATATGATGCTACGGTAGGTGAACTTCATCAGCCGACTGGGCGGACTCTCTTCCCTCGCCATCACCGGCTGGCGGTTGTCGGTACATTCACTTTTTTCTCTTCCCGCTCCTTTGCTTCCCGCCCCTCTCTGCTGGCGTCTTGCTCGATACTACTTCGTACGGACAGAAGTGAACGGCGCGTGGCTGGCTGTCTCAGGCCCCGTGGTACTGGTACTAGAAAGAGTCGTAGAAGTGGTAGAATTAATCATGGTCCATGGGTGAGCTGGTCTTGTAGTCTGGTCTGGTCAATATGAATAAGGGACATTGGTACAGATACTTTTTGGGCCCGTTAAAGCTGTTAACCATATCGGGTATCATGGCCGCCAAATACCGGTTGCCATCATCGTGGTCTTTTGTGATCTCCTTTGGAGACGATAGCAGGTTTATCCGCTCGGACAATTCTGGCTTTCGTCCGAATAAGTACAATTATTAAGAGAGGGATACGGATATAATTGCGGAAAAGAAGAAGATAGACGAAACTGATAAAGGAACAACCCCAGACTCTGAACCATCATAATATTACTCCACAATGACATGACAGATCTTACCGTCAAATGACCATGATCCGAACACGCTATTGCTACCGAGAAAACGATGTACGAGAAGCAATTAGACGAACATCCGGCCTGAAGACTTACATCCACAGAGAGGATTAGATGAACCACACAAGCGATGCAAGCAGCACCCCGTGTTCAGCAGTAATATTCCATCCTCCGTCGGTTGGACACATAGGGTAACGACTCTTGAGTCTCGCTCGGCAGCACAGAAATCCATCCCAAGTGGGGGGGGGGGGGGGGGGGGATACAACGCAATAACGGAGACGACACATGCACACAATCAGACATGCTTGCTTCTTCAATATCTCCTCTGTCGCACCGTACCATACTACTCCTGTAAGTTACACGTGCCACGCGACCAAAAACAACAAGATGCAAGCCACCCACGACGACGGCAACAGCGATAACAGCAACGGTGCGCCACCAGTACAGCCGCGCATCCAGCCAACAAGCCACGCCGGCGGCCTCGGACGCGACGACGCCGGATTATCCCACAGCGTGACGATGGACCCAGCGCCGCGGTTCACGGCGGCCGGGTCGTCGATGCTGCAGACGGAGTGGCAGGACCCCCCCTCTGGATCGGTGGTGTTGTAGACCATCTCGATCCACCGGATGTGGAAGGCGGCCTGGTCGCCCTCGGCCATGAAGCCGCTCCAGTAGCCGCCGTCGCTCCAGACGTTGAAGACGATGCGTGACGGGTCGCGGGGCACCTGGAAGGCGATGCTGGCCGTCTGGACGCCGTCGATGTACCAGATGCTGCGCTCGGGGGTCCAGTCGAAGCGGTGGACGAGCCAGTCGGAGAAGGTCCTGTTCCCCGGGATGCTGACGTTGCGTGTGGCCTCGGGGAAGTTCTCGCCCTCGAGCGTGTAGGCCGGGTTGTTGACGTAGTGCACACGGTCGTCGGCCTCGCGCGTGATGAACTCGATGTCGGCCTCCTGTATGTCGGCCAGCTCGTCGGCCGACCGGTACGTGAAGATGGACGTCACCCCGCCGGTGTCGCCCACCGTGCGCGCCAGCACCCGCAGCGACAAGAAGTGGTACTCGTCCACGCTGCTGAATTCGCCGCACGACTGGAAGTCGGCCACCCTCTGCGTCCGGATGCTCACGTACGTGTCCGGCCCCTCGCTGCCCTTGTCCTCCTCGACGTACACGTTGCCTGGCGAGTAGACGCGCGGTACGTGCTCGCCCACGATGAGCGGGTCGTCGTCGGCTATCCCGTGGGTCCAGTCCGACAGCTTCCACGTCTTCTTCCAGTCCTTCTTCTCAAAGTACTTGCTCGACGGCGGGGCGTCGCTGGCGTCGTCGGCATCCGTCACCACGTCGTCCACCTCGCCCGCGTACTCGGACAGGTCGCGGAAGTCGTAGAACAGGCGCTTCTCGTAGTATGTCGGGTTCGACCCATTGATGACATAGCACCCGCAGTCCTTCTCCTCGGCAGGCTGGGGAGTACTGCTGGGAGTGGGCTGTTGCGTTTCTGTGGCTTCGCTAGTCACGGACGGTGCCGTCGTGCTCGCGTCATCCTCCTGGCCCGTCACCACCACCACACGCGATGCAACTAGAGCGCCGAGGCTGAAGATTCTCGACAGAACCTTCATGTCGTGTTATACAGAGCGTTCGATGGGGAGATCATGTCCCGGGAAGAAAAGAAAAGCGGGTGTCTTGCGTGTGCGCGAGTGCAGATCCCGACGGCTCAGCCAGGGACAGAATGAGGGAGAAGGGAAGAAGGGCAGACAGTCCGACTTGCGTGATGCACCCCGCGCCTCCCTGGGCGGACGGGAAGCCAACAGACAATACGGATATGCATGAGCAGTCAAGCCAAGCGTGGCCTCGATCTAGACGGAGTGACATGGGGCACTAAAAAGCAAATACGAGGTGCTTGGGTTCCATGGTACGATGCAGCTGCGCAGGGTGCATCCTGTAGAACTTGGCGTCGAACCCTCCCCGTGGCTTGCATACGTCTACACATCCATCCGCTGTCGCAGCCGTGGGCGGCAGGGTCGAAGGAAGGAGGAGTTGGAGTCTGACTGGGTTCGTCTCATCAATATTAACCCCCCAATCCCTTGCCGCCTCTACACAATTCTCCCAGCGTGACCAGTCCTTATACCGAGTATGAGGGAATGAACCAACGGCTGACCGTTACGGTACGAGCCAAGAAAGTACGGATTGAATACGACGTAAATGCGTACCCGTAGGTGAAGAAAAAAAAAACGCCATCACATGCATATATATCGATTAAAATTTACGCTTATCATGCAGTCGATCAACAGCATCTTTAGTCTGCGCAATCTCGCAATATTCCGTTATCCGTCGCGATGTAGAACATCTCCAACGACTCCGACACAATGCCATCTGTAGTGTTATTTATTACCTTGCATGCATTCGCAGTTACAGTATTACTTGCAGCACCATTTGGGGATATTATTACTTTGTACTCCGTATGTACGTGTATTGATTGCTCCTAGGCCTTAGTAAGCATTCGTCACTGATACCCACTTTTGCGAGCACAGTATTATGTGTTATGTAATCAAGTACGTGTCATCCGAGGAGGTTATTATTTGGCGATCTTGACAAGCTTTTGCTTGTCGCCTCCGCAATTGACCTTCAAAACCTCCATATCAACGTTTTCGACAACAGAACTCTCCTCTCGAGAGAAGTGAAAGAAGAAGAAGAGAGAAGAGAAGAAAAACAAGAGAAGTTCCACGGCGTCAGTGCATGTGACCCGCCTCAGTGACGGGGGAGATTTCTTCCTTCTTTTAAGCCGCTCAGAGGTGCTTAAGTATCAATAATGGCAACTATAAATCCTACCGCGATTGCTCACCATTTCCCCCATATAGGAACCCCGATATAAGAAAAAAAGAAGAGGAGAAGAAGAATAGCGAGAAGGAAACAGAGACAATAAAATTCAAAGCAAGCATGTCGCGATCCGCGAGCCCTGAAACCGTCGTCGCCGCCGCCGCCGCCGCCGATGCGCGCGACCCGGTCGACACACAACAGCAACAGGAGGAGCGTCCATCATCGCGACAGCCATCAGAAGAGAAGAATACGACTAGCCGAGAAGAAGAAGAAGAAGGAGAAGAAGAAGAGGGCGGCTCTAGCTCCGAAGAAGAAGGCGCCGCATCTCCCGTCCACTCCAGCCGTCGACAGTCGGGCGCCGGGGGGGCGGACGACGCGCCACCGCTACCAGAGGAACCCGTACCGTCTGCCTCTGAAGCCCCTCCCCTGCCGCAGGAGGTACCGCCACCGGCCGCCGACGACGACGGCTGGGACTGCCAGTGGGACCCCTACGCGCAGTCGTGGTTCTTCCACAACCGCCTCACGGGGAGATCCCAGTGGGAGAATCCGCGAGTCCCCCCTGCCGCCGCCGCCGCCGCCGCCCCCAGCGATGCCGCGGCGCCGCCTCTGCCTGCCGACAGCGCCGTGGCGGGTGGCTACAACCCCGCCATACACGGCGATTACGACCCCAACGCGTGGTATGCAAAGGGCTACGCCAACCCCGAGGAGGAGGAAGGGTACGGTGGTGCGGAGACGGCAGGGCTGGTGGACGTGTACGCGTCGACGGCCCAGTTCAACCGCTTCAACGGGCAGTTTCAGACGGCCGACGCCGGTCCGGGCCGGCACACGGACGAGGCCAAGTCCCGCAGGCAGATGAACGCCTTTTTCGATGTGGACGCCGCCGCCAACGCGCACGACGGACGGAGCCTCAGGGCCGAGAGGTCGCATCAGAAGCCGTCCAAGTCGGAGCTCAAGGCTTTCAAGGAGAAGAGGCGCGCCAGGAAGGAGGAGAAGAGGAGGGCGTGGCTGAGGGATTGAGCGACATGAACATACGCGCATATACTCATTTCCTCTCACCTGTCGGGACTTTCTTCCCCTTTCAAGGCCATTGTTTGGAGGGGGAAATACGCCGTTCTTATTAGGGTAGATTTTTTATCTTTTTTTTTTTTCGTTCCTGGTGACTTGGAGATAGTAGAATGTTTTGGGTATTGGGGGCTGGGGTATTATCCTTCCTCTCCATTGGGCGTTTCGATGGGAAAGTGTACGACCTGGGTCATAGCCGCTAGTTTATTGTTTGCTATCTAGAGAACTTGTATTCGATATACCGTCTGATGTAAAAGTATATTCTGCATGGACCACTGCTACTAGCATCGAGAACAAGAGTGCTCAGTTTTCCTCATCGTCGTCATCGTCATCCTCCAGCTCCATGTTGAGATGCACACTCTCATCATCGTCATCATCATCATCGTCGTCGTCCTCCAGTGCTCCAGGCTTCGATTCAGCTGCAGGCTGCTGCGCCGGCCTCTCGAGCTCCTGCCTCTTGGGCGCCACGGTGGAAGGCTCCTCGTGCTTCCTCTTGGGCGGGGAGCCGGCCCTGTTCCGAGCCTGTGGGGAGCCACCGCCGCTTTCGGCCTTTGTAGATTCGAACGGGTTGCTGGTACTCTGAACGGGCATGTCCATCGGCGAACCGGACGACAGGGCAGCCGGCTTCTTCGACTGCCCGACCTCATCCTCGTCCTCGTGCCCGTGCCCGTTGGCCTCTGCCGCCTCGGCGTCGGCCATGACCTCATCCTCCTCGTCTCCGTCATCCTCGAAGTCGCTCGGGGGTTCGCCGACGACAGCCCCGTCCATGCGGAGGTTGGAGCGTAGGATCTCCAGCCCCTGGTCCTGCGGGAACTGCTGCGTCAGGTGGGGCAGGATGCTAGGGTACCTCCGTCCGCGGGGGTCGGTGTACGGGTTCAGCACGCTGGCGAGCATGGCGTCGCGGTCGCGCGACAGGATGGCCGTCTGGTCGAGCAGGCTGCGCAGGCTGGGCTTGAGGTGCCTCTGGTTGAGGCGGGAGAAGAGGCTGGCGAGCAGGGTGCGGGCGGCGTGGGCGTGGGCGGGATCGAGGCGGTGGGCGCCAGCGGCCGACCGGGCACCGCCGACACCGGCACCGGCGCCCTGCTGCTGCGGCTTCTGGAGAAAGAGGTCGGCGTTGGAGGCCAGGCCGTTCTTCTTGGTATCGACGGCGGAGCCGGTGACCTTCCTGGCCTGCTGGAGGTGACCGGCGTCCTCTTGCAGGTCGCGGCAGGTGGCGCCGATGACGGGCTGAAGCATGTCGACCATGGACTTGGGTAGGGTGGGGCCAGCGACGGCGAGGATGCGGTCCAGGGCGGCGTAACCAGCCGCCCGGACGTCGGGGAGGCCGATGCCGGACGCGAAGACGCGGACGAGGTGATCCAGCGTCTCGGAGGCGTAGGGCCGCATGTCGTCGGCCAGCCGGGCGAACAGCGACCGGACGAGCCGCAGGGCAGCCGTGTGGATGTCGGGCACGGCGCTCCACAGCTCGTCCTTCTCCTCGCGGCCGACGGCCGGCGTCGTCTGCAGCGCCTGGTCCCACGTCTGCGTCTTGGGGGACAGGCGCGCGATCAGGCACACGCGCGCCACGGCGTCGGCCACCTTGGTCAGCGGGACGGTCACGGCACCCCTAGTCGGGTGCGACAGGACGGCGCCCATGTAGTCGAGCAGGCCGGCCAGACGCTGAGAGCCGGCCTGGATGCCGCGCCAGGGGGTCAGCTTGCCCAGCCCGGATCCGCCGCCCCGCGGCTCCTGATCTATCTGGACCTTGGGCCTGGAGCCGCGGCCGGCCGACGGCTCCCACGACTCGTCGACGGCGCGGAAGACCTGGTCGGCCGTGTCGTGGAACTCGGCGAGGATGCCGTCGACGAGCCTGGCCCACTCGTCGCTGCCGCCCGACTTGGCCGCCACGTGGTGCTGCGACGCCACCAGCCTCCTGGCGGCGCGCGTCAGGGACGCCGGCACCGCGAAGTCGTCGGCGTCGGTCGGCGCGAGGAACGGCCTGACGGCGGCCTGGGCCTGGTTGCTGAAGGGCCGGAAGGTGGCGGGGTACAGCGGCACGAGCGTCGAGAAGGCGTCGCACACCGTCTCCACCACGTCGAGCGGCGTCGACGTGACGGCTGCCGCGCCGGTCGGCTTGATGAGCTGCATGCATGCCGTCGCGAAGGCCGGGATGGTCGGTGTGGCAATCTCCCTCACGAGCGTCTGGTAGGGCTCCAGGAGGGCGTAGACTCTTGTCAGGGCCACGATGGCCAGCTCCTTGACGGGGAGAGGATCTCCCTTCTGTATAACCATGGTGTCAATTCTCTGTTCTCTGTATTTCTTCTTCTCCTTCTCCCCTCCCTTTTGTATGGGTGTATGTGTGTGTGTATGTGTGCATATGATATATACCTGAACAATTGATAAAAGACCCTGAACCCATGGCTTGACGTCCTTGAGAACCTCCCAACCGCCAACGTCTACGGCGGCCTTGATGAGGGCAACGGCGGCGAACCTGGACTCGCGCGTCCGGCTGTTGAGGAGGGTGGTGATGCTCGTCTTGAGCCTGTTCACCAGCATGGCGCTCTCGGCCGCCTCGCCCTTGGGCTTGGGGTCCGGGGGCGTCGACAGCGGGTGCTTGCACCGGAGGACATGGCTGACCAGGGAAGGGAGGCAGTGCGGGAGCTGGGCCGGAGGGATGGAGGTGAGCTTCCGGCACAGGACCCGGAGGTCGGGCGGTAATAGAGAGGACATGGATGAGACGGGACTGGGGTTTGGCGAGCGAGAAGTCGTAGATGTGTACCGGTTTTATGCGGATCCAGAGGTTGAAGGAGGATGGCAAGTCGACAGATTCTGAAGCCAGACAGGCTGGCAGTAGGACAAGGACACACACACGGACAGATGTGAGTTATCCCTGTGGTCCAGGAACCGTCAGAAAAGGTGTATATTGATCCAGTGAAGCGCAATGCTTGTTGATGTTGAGCTTCACTCTTACTTGTAATTGCTGGCATGTGCAACTTTTCTCTCTCTCTCTCTCTCTCTCTCTCTTTTTTTTTTTTAATTTTTTAATTTTTTAATTTTTTAATATTTAATATTTTTAATATATAATATTATATATATATATATTTTTGGTTCAGCATTTGGACCCTTGTAGCATTACAGCTTAACCTGTACCTGTGGTCCCTGTAATAGTGGTCCCTGTATGTGGGGGGTTGGGTTCTCTATAACGATATCATGATTCATTGGTCAGCTCATCTGGTGACGGTCTTGGGCTGAAGGAATCTCGGCTTCAACCGCTCTCATGCTTCCTTTGTAGCTTCTGTAGCAATTCTAGTAATGAGCGATCAATACCTGTCTGAGGTTATACCTCTGTATGCATGTAGCCAGTGCTCGTACCTGATGAATAATGCATATATACATAACCCGATTGACTGTACAGTAAGTGATGCTGCTCGTTATTACAGGATTAGGTAATACTGCGACTGCTGATACAGCGTGTCTGTAATAATTAAACTGCTAATATGTAATCTGTAGACTCTACGGAGTGGTCATAATACTCGTAATAATAACAGCCGGTAATATATGGTATCATATATATGTAAAATAGCAATTACGCAGAATAGAGAGAGGGGAGGGGAGGGGGGGCTCAGACGGATCGACACTGATAATAACTCGGTACAGGAGAGACTCGACGGGACTGATGAGAGCACCAACCAACCCACCCCCCAGATACATATAGTAATCAATCAGGACCTCTCTGGTTGGTTTTCTTCTTTTTTTTTTCTCCCCTCGGTTGGTGTCGTGCATCTTCTTGTTTACTGAGGCGCTGGATCTCTTGCCTCCTCCTCTCTTCTTCCTCGTCGTGTGCTGTGTGCCGTGGGTCTCTGTTGTTGTAGTATTACTAGTACGTGTAGCGATATCTGCCAGCTGCCTCCCTCTCATCCTTCACCGCCCGCCTCTCCCCAACTTGGCAAAACATCCTCCCCCTGCCAGCGCAGCGTTCCCATCTGCGCTCCGGCATTCCTGCACCGCCCATTCGTCGCCGTTCGGGTACGACGACATGCCTCTGACACCCTCAACCTCCAACCCTTGAGAGAGAGAGAGAGAGAGACAGAGACAGAGACAGAGCCCGTCGCAACATGTCTGTGAGTAATATAACTCATCAACTTCATCGTCCACTCTCAATCTGCCCGTCTGCGCCGCGAGAGACTGACCTCCTTTTGCTTAACCTCCTTGCCCCCCCCCTCACCGTCTAGACCAAAGCGGCTGGCTATATAGAGCAGCTTGACCTGGCCCGCTGCGAGGGCAATTGGGCCGCCGTCCCCGAGCTCGTTCGCAAAGTCCGGAAGCATGCCCCTGAGAGAGCCTGTACGGAGATAACCCGCCCTGCACGCTGACTGCCCTCTCCCCCTCGACGCCTGGCCGGCAGCGTCCCGAACGCTAACCCTGTCCATCATCCAGGCCTCACCCTGACTGCCGAGCTCGAATGCGCCGTATCGAACGCCACCAACGCCGCCGGAAAGTCGGGCCATGCCGCCGCCGCCGCCGCCGCCGCCGCCCCCGATGCCGCCGACCTCGATGTCGCCGGCAAGGCCCCCCAACTACTCCAGGCCATAGAAAAGGAGGACCGCTATCCCGAGGACCGATTTCAGGCTCAGGTCTGCGTCGGATGGATGCACTGGGTCGTCGCCGAGCATGCGCTGGCCCTCACACACCTCCCGGTCGGCCTCGACCTGGGAGATAGCCAGGCGGATGCCCACGAGTCTGTATCTGAGTGGACCACCGTCTGCGCCCTCAAGTCGGTCTACCTCAGGGCCAACTGCTTGAACCGCAGGTACGAGAGGAAGGAGGCCCTCCTGGCCTTCCGGTCCGGGCTCCAGTCGCTCGCGCGCGTCTGGTCGGGCCGCTCCATGCACAAGCAGCTCGCTTATTGGGCCGAGCTCTATCTCACAGAGTACTGCATGCTCACCAGCCAGGCCCTCAAGGAGAACGACGCCCCCCTCGACGACAGCAATTCCATCGCCAGCTTCCGATCCTGGGCCAAATTCTGGGACGTCACTTCGCCCCCCGCCAACGGCGGCTTCGGCTTCAAGGGCTCCGTTCCCCGACGCCGGGTCTGGAACGAGTACTACGTCACCTTGTCGCGCATCCTGGAGGAGGACCTGCCCTTCCCTACTGGCTACCTGAGCAGGATCCCCAACGACGCCTCGGCTCGTGCCCAGCTGCGCGCTGAGCTCAAGAACGTCGAGGCCATCTACCATGGGCTGCTCATCAAGGAGACCAGCTTCCCCCGCGCCGAAGAAGAGCGGGAAGAGGTCGAGGCCTTTGTCGCGCTAGCCGTCCAGAACTGGACCGTCCTGTGCGGACGTGGATGGCGCGAGCACGACCTCGGCCCGGGAGGACGCAACAGCCTGAGCCGTGGCGTCCTGGACATCCTCTACAACGCCGCCACCAAGACTTTCCAATCCACCGCTGTTCTCCGGAGCCTGTTCCTGGTCCACCTGTCTGTCGGCGAGTTCGACCAGGCCTTCCGGTCCTTTGATTCCTATCTCGAGATCGTCAAGAAGGGCAAGGCTCGTGTCGACAAGACCGGACATGCCGAGCTTAGCCTCGACGACGACGCCACCGTCCTGCAGACCATGGCGCAGGCCATCATCGCCCTCTGCCAGTACGGCCCTACCCAAGTTGCCGAGAAGGCCCGCCAGCTGGGAGCCGAGCTCGAGGACTGGCTGGCGAGGCTTCCCCAGCTAAAGTCGGGCGAGAACGGTGCCCCGGCCATTGCCGAACACGAGGCGACCAACGACCTGCACGCCCCCATCCCGGCCGAGATCGTGGCCCTATCGTGGCAGGCTATCGGTCTGTCTCACGCCCAGTGGTCGAGGGCGACGCACGAGGCCTCCTCGCGCACAGAGATCCAGGCCAGGGCCATCCGCTGTCTGCGCCGAGCTCTGGCGGCCGAGTTTGGACGCGCAAAGGACGTGAGGACCTACTTCACCCTCGGGCTCCTGCTGGCCGAAAGGAGAGAGCTCACGGCTGCCATCGAGGTCGTCAAGATGGCCCTCTCGTCCAACAAGGCTACCGAAGCGCAGTACGACCTGCGCCTCGGGTCCTACTGGCTCGAGCGGTCTCTCATCCCCATGTGGCACCTTCTCGCCCTGCTGCTCAGCGCCCGACAAGACTACTCGATGGCTTCGCGGGCGTGCGAGGGTGCGCTGGAGCAGTTCAAGGATCCTTCCGTCCTGCTCGGGAAGGAGAGGCTGGACTTTCGAAGTGAGCACCTGAACGAGGCCGAGGGCAGCGCCACCCAAGAGCAGCCCAGGGGTCTCATCGACGATATGGCCGACTCGGAGAAGGAGGCCATCCTGGAGGTCAAGATGACGCAGCTGTCGCTCGTCGAGCTGCTGGAGGGACCCGAGGTGGCCGTCAACGCTAGCTACGAACTGCTCGCCCTATTCACCCGTCTCTTTGGCAACCTGGGTGTGGCCTCCCAGCCCAGCTTCGAGCCACCAAAGGCATCGGAGGCGCCGAAGACGGTGGGGACGCTGCGCAGCCTCAAGGGCAGCATCCTTCGGCGCGACAAGTCCAGGCCGCCGACGAGGCAGCCCAGCAACGCGACGTTGCGCGACAAGGCCAACGCGCCAGCACGTCCGGCCACGTCGAGGACCAACGACAGCAGCCCGCCATCCACCCAGGTCACCGCCGGGGAGCGATCCAGGCAGCCCAGCCGTCGCGAGAGCACGGGCCGTCTGCGCAAGAGCGAGTCCAGCAACAGGAACGGCACGCGTCGGAGGGACACGAGCACCAGCCGGAGGGATACGAGCACCAGCCGGAGGGATACGAGCACCAGCCGGAGGGACACGAGCACCAGCCGGAGGGACACGAGCACCAGCCGGCACCGCGGATCGAGCACAGGCAACGGGCCCCCCGGCCACTCGGACACGGTGATAGACGGGGAGTCGTTCTACACGCCCATCGTGGATACCGAAGGGGATCAGCAGCAGTCTGACTTCTTCTCATCTCCGCCGCCCACCACGACGAAGCAGTACCCGCCCACGGCCTTCTCGCGGAGCGCGGTGGCGGCGTCGGCCACGGCTAGGAACCCTGAATCCTCCGAGTTCTCGGCCGAGGTGCTGCACGCTTCCACTGGCCTCCTGACGCCCGTCCAGTTCTCAAAGGACAAGGAGAGGCTGCAGAAGACGACCATCCTCATCCGCGTGTGGCTGATGATTGCCGGCTTCTACCGCCGGGCCCACATGTACAACGACTGCCAGGGGGCCGCGTCCGAGGCCCAGAAGCTGGTGCAGGCCATCGAGGCCGACTCCAACAAGGATAAGTCTACGTCCATCAACACCAAGGATGACGGCTGGGCCGAGAGGAAGAGCATTGACAGTCTGTGGGGTGATGTCTACACCGAGGTACTTTCTCTTCTTCCTTTTCCAACGTGTTCTTCTCCTTCTTTTTCTTTTCCCCATCTCCCTCCCCCCCCCCATTCACATTCATGCTCACTCGCTAACGCGCACGCACATAGTTCGGTATGCTTTCCGTAGCCCGAGGCGACGCCCACACCGCGCGCGCAGAATTCGAGGCCGCCCTCCTCTACTCGCACGACCACCCCGAAGCGACAGTCGGCCTGTCCAACATCCTCCTAGACGTCTACTCGGAGAAGCTGCTCCCCTCCGCCCCCATCTTTCCCGTATCTAGCTCCTCGGAGCACACCCATGCCCATGCCCATGTCCATGCCCATTCCCAGAACGAAGAGACCAAGAAGGGAGTCCCGCCGTCCAAGGCCCTGAGCTCCACACCACTCGGTCTCGCCCCGACGACGACGACGACGACGACGACGACGATAACCCGCACTTCACCCGCAACGGCAGACGAACAGACGACCCCCGATGTCGTCGACGTCGATGTCGACGGCGGCGAAGACGAACTCCCAGAGCCGTACAAGGCCACTCGCCTCCCCCTGATCGACCGTCTCGCCGCCCGCGAACGCGCCTACGCCCTCCTGTCCGGCCTCACCCGCCTGGGCACGGGCTGGAACCACTCAGAGGCCTGGTTCGCACTGTCCCGCGCCTACGAGGAGAGCGGCCAGCCCGACAAGGCAAAGGAGGTTCTGTGGTGGTGCATCGAGCTAGAGGAGGCCAGAGGCGTGCGCGAGTGGGTGTGCCTAGGTGGTGGGGGTTACGTACTGTGATGCTGTGATGCAAGGAGTATTTTTTTATTTTTTTTTTGAAAAAAAAAAAGAAAACTTACCTTGCTCCACCTCCTTCCCTTGTCTTGCCTTCTAGCTATCGAAACCTTGGTCGTGTTCGTGCCATGTCATGATTTCTTTCATACATCTTTTTTTAATCCTTTTAGAAGAGAAAACCCCCGACTTTTTTCCCCATATATCTTTGCATTGTATCAATTTTGAATCAACAATAAAATGATTTTTTTTTTTTTGAGAAAAAAGAAACATGGCATATCTAAAACAAATCCACCTGTTTTATTCTATAGTCATTGGGAATTCATTGTGCTTTGCAACTCGATGGATCTACCGGAAATTGTCCTTTGTAATTGTAGATGAGTTGATGTTTAGAAGTTCGTGTTGACCCTAGAGTAGAGAGACAGGAGAGCTCTCCTAGATGCACGCACTACATTAATTGAAATGTGTTTTTTTTTTTTTTTTTTTTTGATTCGGTTGGTATGTATATGATATTCTGCCCATCATGACATTGTTCTCTAATTGTATCTCTGTTTTTTTTCTCTTTCCCTCTCATCATCTTCACCCTCCGGTTTTAATATATGGAATGGTATATTTCTGTTTGTACCCCTAGTTCCTTTACTTCTTCTTCTTTCCTGAATATATCGTATCTCTTTTTCCTTTAAACAACAAACGGATGGGAAAGAAAAGGGAAGAAAGAAAGAAAAGAAAAGAAGCAAGTGGTGGATATGGATTCTGTAAAAAAAAAAAAGAAGAAAAAAAGAAGAAAATCCTTACCAACTTTTTAGTAGACTCTGGAGATAGTTTGCAAAGGTCCTCTTGTCGACCGAGGTGGTCAGTGACCTGAGAAAGTCATCGGGGCTGATTCCCAGTGAAGGAAACAGTGTGGATTGGAGCTGGCTGATGAGGACGTCTCCGGTCTTGGTGTAGATGACCTGCTCTAGCCCGGCGATCTCGACGAGGACCTGCTTGGACTGGGCGTCCTGCGGACGGAAGGCCGGGTTGCGCATCACCTCCCAGCAGACCGAGTGGAAGCGCTCGATAACGAAGCTGTCGAAGCCGGGAATGGCCGGGGTCGGGGGTCCCGAGGGGGCCGTGGGATTCTGGGAGATGGTGGCCACGTCCGGCCCGCCCCAGATGGAGCAGATGCGGCTCATGACGGTGAAGGCGAGGCGGCTGGGCCCCAGGTTGCTATCCAGCGTGCGGGCGATGTCGGTGATGGAGCTGACGATGCGCTCGAACGAGGCCTGGTTGGACTCGCTGATGAGCACGCCGTCGAGCCCGTTGTTGAGGATGATCTGGATGAAGGAGAGGTACTCCCTGCGTAGTTCGGCCAGCTGGATCTCGTCGTCGGTGCCGACGATCGGCTCCGCCAGCCCGCTGAAGATGCGGTCCATCAGCGGGGCCAGGAGCGTGTTGAGCACGTCGTAGATCTCCGACTTGAAGCCGAAGACCACCTGGTCCAGGAGCCGGAGGAACATGGCCATCTCGTCCTTGGACGAGCTCTGCGACAGGAGCCCCTCGATCCACTGCGGCAGCTGCGGCAGCACGACCGAGCCCAGCACGCCCAGAAGGCGCGAGAAGGCGGATCGGCACGCGATGCGGATCTCCTCGGAAGAGTTGAGCTGGCTCAGAGAGATGAGGATCGCCTCGGCCGCGCGCGAGAACTCCTGCGACACGGCCGGGTCGGGCGGCGCGTGCTGCGTCGCCGCCGTCGAGCCGGGCGTCCAGTCCGAGAAGCCGTGCGCTAGCGTGCCCAAGGCCATGACGATGTGGTGGATCTGGTGGATGGCCTGCGTGTCGCCTGACTTGGCGCGGGGCAGGTGCTCCTCCATGTCGCGGAACAGGGGGTCCATGACCGACCGTGCGTAGAGGGCCTGCTTGTCTGCCGGCGTGCTCTGCGTCGACGAGATGCACCCGATCGCCTCGAATAGGTAGAGCTGGCTGGTGAAGAGGGCGTCGGCAGAGTGGTCCGACTCGTCGGATGACATGTCGTCGTCGGCCTCGTCACTGGGGACTTCGGCCTTGATGGGCAGCAGGTCTCCGATGGACTGTATCACCGTCTCGGCCACGTTGCCTACCTGCGCGCGCAGATGCTTGATGAAGCGGTGGAAGAGGTACCACGACCTCGTCTTGATGCGGACGTGGCTGTGGTGGACCAGGCGGACAAAGCTCTCGAGCACTACCGGGATATAGTCGTGGTTGCTCTCGAAGACGACGCAGTAACGGACGCAAATCTCCATGTACTGGAGTAGGATCGCGGGGTGATCGAGATTGACGATTCCTGCGAGGGGGAGAAAGGGGGGGGGCAGGCGGTTTCGCGAGTTAGAGGCACGTGTCGGCGGGCAGGGAGGGAGGGTTCGACGGAAACAGAGGACGGAGAAGAGAGCTTACCGGACTCGACCATCTTCCTGATCATAACCACCAGACGTTCCGAAGCCTCGCCGTTCGGCTGGTTCTTGGTTCCCAGCCCCTGGTTCGGCAGGGCGAGCTCTCCGAAGAGGTACATCTCGTAGAGGGCGAGGTCGAGGTCGCGCCAGTCCATCTGGGAACCCTGCTGGTCGAGCTTCTGGAAGGTATTGGCGACGAGGTTGCTGAGGGTGTTCATGTAGAGGGGCTGGTCGATGGCAGCGATGGTCTTCTGGAGGTTCTGCAGCTTGCGGCGGAGCTCCTGGAACTCTGCCTCGTCCGTCTGCTCGTCCTCGTTTCCCCAGGTGGCCGTCTCGTCGTAGCGCATCTTTCGGACGACGGCGTCGAGGACGGGTGGAAGCATGTCCAGGTACTCCTGGGGCAGCTGGCCGAGCTTGCGGAGGAAGGTGAGAAGGTCGGTGAGGGCGGGGATGACGGTGGAGCAGACCTCGTCGTACTCGTCGGAGAAGAAGCGCAGGAGGAAGGGCAGGAAGGCGTTGAGGTGCTGGTTGGCCAGTGTGCGCGTGTCCTGGCCGATGGAGGCGTCCTCGAGCGCGCGGACAATGTCGGCGACGACGGTGTTGATGAGGTTGGCGACGGCCTCGGCCAGGTCCGTATCGTAGTGCGAGGTGCCCTTGTACTCGCTGAGCGACGGGCTGGCGATGAGCTGGCCGACGATCTCGCGCAGGTTGAGGAAGGAGATCATCTCGACCTTGTCCTGGGGCCGCATCTTCTTGCCGCTGATCTGAGTCAAGGTCTCGATGGCGGCGCTGCGCACCTTGAGCTCGTCGGCGCCCGCCTGGCTGGCGCGGCCGATGAGGGGCAGCAGCAGGCCGAGCATCTCCTGGCTGACGACGAGCGAGATGTCCATCCAGCTGACCCACTTGGCAATGACCTTGAGGACGAGCTCGACGATGACATTGTTGGAGCCGTAGCGGACGAGCAGCTGCTTCCACGAGTCGGCCACCTTGTAGACGTCCTGGGCGCGCAGCGAGTCCTTGAGCTCCGTGTTGCGCTTGGCCTCGCCGCTCTCGCGCGACAGGAGCATGTCGGCGATCTCGTCGTGGATGGAGCTCAGGACGCGCAGGTACAGGACGGACCCGTTGACGTTGTCGGCGCCGGCGGGCAGCCCCGAGATGTCGAGGAAGTCGTCGAGGAAGGACTGCCAGCCCTCGCGGTACAGGAAGACGAAGAGGTACGTCAGGGTCTGGGTGAGCTTGTTCTGGAGGTGGGGCGCGTCGGGTTCCCTCTGGGGGCTGAGGCCGTAAGCCTGACGCACGTACTGCAGCAGCGAGTCCTTGAGGTAGGTGAGGCTCGCAGGGTCGAGTCCCTGGGTGTGGACGGCGAAGTTGACGACCTCGAGGCAGACGAGGCGGAGCACCTCGGCCGACTGCGGTGCCTGGACAAAGAGGTTTGTGCACGTGTGCCAGCCCGACGGGTCGTTTCTTAGCTGGTTGAGGTATTCAAAGGCCTGCGCTTTGAGCGACTGGTCCGACTGGGGATTCCCCAGGATAGCCACGGCGTTTTCGATCTACGGTACAGTCAACGTCACCGTTCCCGTCGGCAAGACGACGCCAATGACCGAGAGCCAAGAAGACGACTGGTCACCGGCCACAGCAGACCCAGCCGAGCATCTCCATGGTCGGATGGAGGAGGGTAAGAAATTCTGCTGCACAGCAGCCGGTCCATGCGTCGGTGACACCTTGCATGTCGTCGTCGTCATGGCGGGGCAGCAGCGACATATGGAGGGGCAGGTTGCTTACCTGTGCTTCCATATCGCGATTATGCGGTAGAATAGGAAGAGAAGAGGAGAGAAGGTGAAGAAAAAGGGGGCAGGGGAGAGAAGCCTAGGCGGCGAAGGTGAAGGAGGGTGGTGGGAGGCAACTGATCACGAGCTGCTCCCTGTTTTTCTGGAAGCCGACCGTCAAATCATGCAGCATAGTTGGGGACGAGTCGTCGGTGTCTTTATTGAGATATCATGCCTGGCCGAGCGGGAGGAGGGGCAAGGCAGCGGGCAGCAAAGCAAGCAATGAGGGGCCAGCCGGGGGGGGGGGGGGGGGGGTGGCGGGGAAGGCGGTGGGCGTCGTATAGGAGAGTTGATGGAGGAGGAATAGACGAATTGTTACGGGTGAATGTCTGTCGTTATCGTCGTCGTCTTGCCGTCGTGGTATCCAGACCGTAAATGTCGGATTATGGTTGGTCGTGATGGTAGATTGTGTATTTTTGATCTCGGCCTTTTTTTTGGTCTGTCGTCGTCGGTTGGGGATTTTTTTTTTACATCAGTGCGTTGTGCCGCTGCCGAAGGTAGGTCATATTCGGGCGCTAGAGGCGATAGGTTCTACACCCCGCTATATTACGCTACTGGGCATCACTGTACACCATGGCACACCACTGTACACCTCTCATGACACCTGCTAGGTACTAGTACACCACTATACCCTTACCAGCGCTCCCGCGTACCTAATCTGTACCACCTTCTGAGGTTTCGCCATCAGTAGAAGGGATAGAGTAATAAGGGGCAGCAGCACATATAGCAACGTCGTCGTACGCATATGGCTTTTGAGCAGCACATGTCCCTCCTCAACGTCGCTTCGATCTTTCACCTGCTCAGGCGTCACGTACGGTAAGCGGAGTAGAGAGCCTTTATTTCTATCTCCCCTCGTTCTTCCCATGCTTGCCCAGGCCACTCGTCCTTCACGACGCACGTTGGTCACATGACCTGCACCGATGCGCCTTACCACCTGCACGCTGATATGAACATGACGAAGTCTTTATATTCCTCCATCTGACCCCTCTGTGGAATAACCACTCCCACCTGTCGTCCTATCACGCATACGTTTACTACCGTTCAATTGACTCGGCCAAGCTTTTTCTGTGCCTCCACGTTGTGCTCTGCTCTAGTGCCGGTGTCGTGTGAGAAAGTGGCCTCAGGCATCGACACGGTCACCACCACGACGAGAGGGCACACTCAACGTCAATCATCATTCACGCCCGAGAAGAAAGAAGACATTACCGAGGCCTTCGATTGTTCGTTGAAATTCGTCCTTGATCACATCAGTCAGTCCGTGAAACTCTTCGGCCGTCGACGCCGCTACAATAATCTTCAACACAGACGGAACTGAACGTAGCACGATCCGCGTGACGAATCTGCATCTCCCTGAGACTTGGCCGAGGTTCAATGCCCGGAACCTGAGGCGAGACGATTCTCTGCACTGGTCTAGGGTGTTGAGAACCAGGATGACCAGCAGGAAGAGGCCGTCCTGGCCAAACACGCCTGGAGCTATCAGGTGTCCGCGATGGCAGGTTGTCAGAAATACCTAACGATCATGGCAATAGCTATCGAAGTGTTCTCACAACGCACCACGACCACGACGGGTCTCGTTCGGTCGGACCGTCTCTGAACCTGACCGCACTGCCTGGCCCACCACCACCGCCACCGCCTAGACCTAGACTCCAGACCGAGCTCCTCCCCCGGAGTTCCGATGAGCGTTCGAGGAGATGAGTAGAGAGCAATGACGGAATGCATCGCGTATCTCACCGGTATTCAGGAATCAACAATCACCACGCATCGACGTGTGGGGACCCGAACGTCTCCAAGCGGGAAGAAGTGTGAGGACGACAGTCAAAGGACAGACGACAAGAAAAAAGATTTGATTTGCTTCTGACAGACGCGGGGGAAGCCATCGGTGTTCTTCCATTCCCTGTCTGCCAGCGTCGGTCAGAGAAGCTCGTCGTCGATGCCGGGAATAAAGTCGCCAAGTCGTCTTGGCCGTGGATGCAGCTGACACCGCCACTGCATGCGTGGTACAAGCGAGAAGGAGAAGAGGTAGAGAACTAAAGTAGATCTGTCGTAATGTGGACTCCGAGGAATCGAAGAGGAAACAAGAAAAAAAAGAGGATATACACGAATAGAAAGAATTGGAGTAATCAAGACATGATAAGATGGAGATCAAACTTTTAGTTTCGATAGTTCAGTTCGAATATTCCCTAGCTGCACCATAGGACGGAGAAAGAAGAGATAAAAGGCGACGAAGGATAGGGTGAATGAGAATAGGAAAGAAAGCAAAAGGGAGTGATCCAAGGCCATAGTAAGTTCGTGAACGGTGACTGAGCGTCTCGGGGCTCTCTTATCCCAAACTCATCTGAGCTCTGCCTGTCTCTCCCTGAGACAAGATAGCTTGAGCTTTTCAGATAACGGGGGGGAGCAAGACTAGACGAAACTGGACCTTTGCCGTACACACAAGGGGGACATCAGCTTGGCTTGGGACCGTACTTTCTGGGCTCTCTTATGTACGTACGAGTTAGGGAGACTGAAGTCTATATATAGGAGAGGAGGGAGGAGGAAGCATCTGCATGGTTTCAACAATGTGCAAAAGAGAGTACACACACACACACACACACACACACACATATATATATATATATATATATGCATGTATGTATGCATGCATGTACATGTATATGCATGCATAGTCTTACGGGTGACGTTACTCCTGGATTGCTGTGATTATCAGTAACAATGTGCACGAAAAGTCAAAGCGAGTGGGGGACGGAAGGAGGTCGCAAGGAAGAGGAGACGGCGAGAGAAGCTTGTGGAGGATTACGAGTAGGGGTTGACGTTTGATGCTTGTCCGGTCTGTACTCTGTATGCTGGTGCCTAGTAAAGTGACGTGTTTACGCGCATCAGAGAAGAAATGGCATGGACGCATGGACGGACAAGCAGTGCAGATGATGTGTAATTCTACTCCGTTTTACACGTGATCACGATGACGCCGTACGATGGAGCCGCCGCCTACTCGTACAGGTTGCAGGTGCTCTGATGGAAGATTTCGATGCTCGCTTCTACCCGTACTCCCTCTGACGTCGTCGGCGCTGGCAGCGCGTCTCTCTCCTTCTCCATTCTTCGCCCTTGCATGATCGACATTGGCGGAACCGCTGCTGTCGAGGTACGGACATGGGAGAGAGATTCCGGTACGAGTAGCACCGAGATGAAGTTGGCGAGAGAAGAAGAAGGACCATAGAGAGAGAGAGGGAATTCATCTCAAGAATATTACCATCTCTTGGTCAGGTCGCACGCAATCGTTGATAGACGTCAATGTGCTCGTAGGTAGGTAATGACGGAACTCTAGTTGCCGGGCGGACGTGTGGACTATGATGTTCGTAACCCTCTCCCCAAGGCATTATTACAGGTTAATTATTACAAGTGAATGTTATGAGGGAGCCCGCTCTCCCTCATATTGCAATACGGATATTACCTTTCCCTCCCCCCCTTCTGCTTCTTGTTCTACGAGGAATTCCATATCGGTGAGCTCACCGTCGTTTGCATGGAGCAGAACTCTCTGCTCAGCATGATATATACGGAGAAGGACGGATATCCAGAAGATGGTCACGCGGGGACGGCATACCAAGAGGTGGGGAGTGAAGAGTTGTAATCTGTACAGGATGAAACACCAGAGATTCGGCGGGTTCTGGCATGCTGTCAAAAGGGGACCGGGGTAGTTGTAAAGGAAATTGCGATGTGATGATGTGCCTTGTGGTCCTCCTCTCTCGGTAAAGAAGCTCCCCCCTCCCCCCCCCCTCTACGGTTAATAGTAGTCAATGCTGCTCGTACAATAAGCATCCCAGCTTAATCTTGTCTCAATCAAATGTGGCTAGAGTGTTATCTAATTATCAAGTAACACGAACCATGTTCTACGGAGTACAGATTACATTAGTAGAGGTATCACCATATCGGCATCGACACTCGTACTCTGCAGTTGCCATGGGCACAAGCTGACGAGGAAGCGACGGTGTGCTTGCATGCAGCCGACCTGGCTGGTATCGGGCATAACGCCGCCAGTCGTATATACTCGTAGTGATGCTACTCCCCAGCCAGGATCGTCGACAGTGTCCCCCCAGCGTACGTCGGAACATGTGCGGGATCGAAACATTTACGAATAAGAACGTGAGTACCCGTGCTCTTAATGGGTGGACCGAGAAGAAGACAGGACAAAAAATAGCAGAGCACGTATATGATACTCGTATGTAATATGACATGCGGGACGACGACGATGGGCCCTACAAGTACTACGTCATGTGCACGCCTTGGCATCTGCAGTGTACATGTACGAGAGGGATGACCATGTCTGATGGCTGTCACAGGAGAGTGGAGGGGAGAGGGAGGACCTGGAGAAGTTGCACGAATGTTTCCGAGCGATTTGTCCTCTCTTCTTGTCATGTATTATGCATTCTCATCAATACACACTTGGCATGCTGGGCATAAGAAACATTGGAGATTTATGCTCCCCCCCCCCCCCCCCCCCCCCCCCCCCCCCCCCACACACACACACACACACACACACAATACAGATACAATGTCCTGCGGTATAAATTATCATGAATTACGAGTAATATTACTATACATGTAACGCTCATGATATGATGCGCGCTATTGCATTTATGGGTCTCCTGATTGCGGCCAAGCGCCCTCTCGTTCCGTCTGCCGTTTACATCTTACCATTCCGATACCGTAATGGTAGTACGGAGTACGAGTACTCGTATGCCTAACCAGCAACTGACTTGGGATGAAACGGCGGCAAACTGAACTCGTACCTTTTCTAGCGAGCGGGCTCACCCGAAAGTCGAGGGACGGTCAGGAACACTGTCCACTCGCTGCATATTTCCAGATCCAATACGGATCAACCGTGCTGCTGGTCGAGCAGCAGCGGATATCGATGATACGTATGGATTCGGGAGTCGGCGGTGTGGCAGAGCGATTGAATGGAACTCCATTCCGACCATCCATGGATCCACGACTTACGCGAAGATTGCATCTCAATCTTGGCAAGTCACGTGTAGGCAGCGGACGGTGTCAGGGCAGAAGTTGCAACGTAAACCCGCCCGTACCCCAAAACGTGGCATGTTTCGGAGGGACTAATGAGCGCCATGGCCACGAGCAACAGCGACATGCTGTCCTCGGTCGTCTCTCTCCACTCTAACGGCTCCGTGGAATTGTCAATTCTACTTCATCTCCTTCTTCCTTTGCGTAATACATGTACTGGTCACCAGCATGTCCGGACCTCTGTCATGACCACCGCGGATAGGAGAGGGGATCATCACTCGTAATTACGGAACGGCACTGCTCTCAATACAGTATCGATTGCCGTAATCTGTACAGGGTGCTATGCCGACTCACGTTATAATGTCCATCGTGACGATCATCTATCACGAGCTGCGATGCGAGTAATACCGGCTAGGAGACGGGACGACGCGAGCTGTGTCAGCTCGTCGTCGTAGCAGGTACTGGTGCTATTCAAGCGGTGCAGATTGCTCAGGCCCCCTCATAGATTGGGGGACTGCGAGCATTCATACCATGATGACACCCGTACGACTACCAGTAATAGCCCTCGTATATTATAGCGATACAGTGGACAGCCAGAGGGACCATGCGCAGCTCCCCCCTCCCCGCGAGGGAAAATTCGTGCGCGACCACGAAAGGGCTACCCCTCTACCCGTACGGAGTCGTCGTGCCCGGACGGTCTTCTTCTCATACTCTCCACCCCTCCTCTCTCTCTCACGTCGGCGGCAAAACCACCGAAACAAAAAACAAAAGCATGCATGATAAATGTGGACCAGCTCGCCCCATCTTCTGTTCCTGCACTAGCGTCACTCTCGTTGGTAACCCTCCTTTACGGTGCTTGCGAGTACGAGCGAGGCCGATGAGGAGGAGGATGAGAGAGACTGGCAGAGAGTTGTTAATAATCATACCCGCTAAAGAGTATCCATATTACTTGGTGGTGGTGTACTCGTAGCAGTATCGTGCTGCCAGCAGGAGCATCTGTATCTGTATGCGTGCTCAGCCTTGTTACTATTGTCATCCATCAGACCATGACGGTGGTGACGATGACGACGACGACGACTCAGTCTCTGACATGGTGTGTGGAACCTTCCTCATCCTCTTCCGTTACTGCCTCTCTTGTCTCTCACCTTGTTCTTCGTCTCAAAAAGATCTCAGACAATTGTCGGGTATAATAATACGAGTTGCTATAATGGCTCATGGCCCATGGGTAAAACCCGCCCCCCCC